AATTCTCATGTTCATATTCTTTTTGAATGGACAATAAGATATATAATGGCATTTCTTTCTACAATAATGACAAGTAATATTAGGGTGTGTCATGAGAGATGCTTTTTCAAAAATTGTATTGAGATTCTTTTGTTTCTTAATAGGGTCGTATCCAATGCCCGCTTTATTGAAAACACATCTTTGATTTTCAAGAAGCATGTTGAGATTATTTCTACCTTTTACAAAATTTTCAAGTGTTTTTGTTAAATCATCAACATTATTTTTTAAAGCAGTTTTTTCATTAGAGATAGTATCAAAATCATTTTTCAAAATATTTTTTTGTTTCTTTAATTCTTCTACATTAATAGATAAAGATGCAACAGATTTCTTCAACATATTATTTTTGGCACAAACTTTTCTAAATTCATTTGATAGTTCATGGAATGCACTTTCAAGTTCTTCATAAATAGTAGTTATCTCATCTTGAGTAGAGTCTTTATCTTCAAGAGCCATGAGACATAAGTTGGCTACTTCATTTTCAATTTCATCACTTGAACTTTTATCTTCACTTTCTCCCCAAGCTGCTACCATGGCCCTTTTGTTTCCTTTGTAGTCTTTTCTATGATTCTTCAAGTTTGGACAATCTATCTTCATATGTCTAGGATTTTTGCACTCATAGCAAATAATAAGCTCTTTCTTGTTATCTTTGTTGTACTCTTTCTTGAAAGGTCTTCTTCCTCCATAATTGTTTTTCTTGAAGTGCTTTTTGAGATTTCTATTAAACATGGCATAACTTTCATCATCACTGGAGTTTTCATGTTCTTCTTCATTTGATGAGTCGTGGAATGCAATTCCACTTTTCTTTTTGTTTTCAACATCCTCATGTCCTTTCATGGCGATCTCATGAGTCATAAGGGAACGCACAAGCTCATCTAATCCAAGCATGGAGAGATCTTTGGTTTCTATAATGGCGGTGATCTTTGTTTCCCAATTCTTTGGTAAACATCTAAGAATTTTTCTTACCAACTCATTGTTAGTATAAGTTTTGCCAAGAGATTTCAAAGAGTTTATAATTTCAGTAAATCTAATAAACATACTTGAAATAGATTCATCATAGTTCATTTTAAACAATTCATAACTATAAACAAGCATATCAATACGAGATTCCTTTACTTGATTTGTATCTTCATAAGTTACTTCAAGTTTGTCCCAAATTTCTTTTGCCGAATCACAACTTGAAATTCTATTATATTCCTTAGAGTCTAATCCACAAACAATTGTGAGTTTGGCTTTAACATTGGCTTGCAATAATTTATGATCTCTCTCATCACATTCATCTTTAGTTTTAGGTACATTAATATTGTCTACTAATTTGATAAGAATTTTTGGACATTTGGTAACAATAATCCACATGGCATAATTAGTGACTTGTAGGCATAGGGTCGTCTTATCCTTCTAATGACTATAGTTGTTTCCGTCAAACAATAGTGGCCTATTTGTGGCTTGTCCTTCAGCCAAGGTTGCCATGGATCGAAACTCCTAGATGGTTAAATCTAAAACAAGAGTTTAGGCTTTGATACCAATTGTTACCCAAAAGACAACCTAAGAGGGGAGTGAATTAGGTTTTTACAATTAAAATTAATAATACCTTAATAAAAATTATGACTAGCACAATAGATAAATATAATTAATGAAATAAAAATAATTAAAACAAGTGTCTTAACAACTATGTTAGTTAATGATTTTAGTACAGTAAAAATGTGAAATATAGCTATGACAATTTAAAATAAAATAAAGAGATAAGGGAGAGAGAGGCAACCAAATTTATAGTGGTTCGGTTTCAACTCGGCCTACGTCCACTCTTCAAGCTTCACTTTAGATTTTTCACTATCTTCTAGTTTCACAGGAGTGCTAGCAACCTCTTTACAAATGGAGCAATCCTCCACGGATTTTACACAGATTTCACAAGCTCAAACCCTTGCAAATCTTAGGTGATTCACAATCACTCTCAAGATTTCAAGAGCACAGTGTTTGCAACACTTTTACAAGGTGAAATGGTATTTTTGCTTTCAAAGAAAGCTTACAATAAATATATCTCAAAGATAAATATATAAAATGAAACTTTGATTTTTCTGTAAATCTCACATAGGAAAGATCTGCTTAAAGCTATAAGGCTCAGTGTATAATTTCTGAGAAAAGATGTGAGTGATTATAGATCAAAAAATATTTTTAGATTTTTTGTAACTTGTTTACATTAGAGGCTTTGGTATATATAATGAAAATTATAGCCGTTGTATTCATTTGAATTTATAGCCGTTTATAGCCGTTGTAATCATTTGAATTTATAGCCGTTTATAGCCGTTGTACTTCCATCATTACCAATTTGAATATCTTCCACTCCATCATTATAAATTTGAATATCTTCTACTTGAACCTTTAGAATCTTTTGGCTTTTTGAATCTTTATAGTCATTTATAGTCGTTGTACTTCCATCATTACTAATTTGAATATCTTCCACTTGAACCTTTTGAACCTTTTGGCCTGCTGCTGTGCTAGGCTGTTTGAACCTTTGTTTTGGGTTGTTTGAACTCCTAATTTAATCAAATATTAAATACATTCTAACAACATTTAGGATAAATGTTTAGGGTGAGAAATAATGGGACAAAATAAATTTTGATTCTATTTTTCTCTTTCAAATAAATCATCAAAATAAATTTTGAATCTATTTTTCTCTTTCAAATAAATTATCAAAATAAATTTTGATTCAAATATAATTAAATAAATCATCAAAATAAATTTTTAATCTATTTTTCTCTTTCAAATAAATTATCAAAATAAATTTTGATTAAAATATAATTAAATAAATCATCAAAATAAATTTTGAATTTTATTTTTCTCTTTCAAATAAATTAAAACATAATTAAATAAATCATCAAAATTAATAAGTCTAACAAAGAGATTTTAGGAACTTGTAATTCAAAATTTTAGGTGATTTTTTGTTTTTTTTAATCCATAATTACTTTGTCAACCAATAGAATTTTTTTAAATCACAAAAATTAACAATTGTGGGATGAGACTTTGGTACTCTCACAAGTTTTTTCACTAAAAACCCCATATTCCTTATATAATATATATATATAGATAGATAGATAGATAGATAGATAGATAGATAGATATAGATATAGATATGTATAGTGTGATTTATTATAGGAAAAATAGTGAAACATCTCTTTTCAACTTTGGGTAGTAGGAGATGTCTAATATATTTTTTCTTATTAATTAAGATCCCTCAACAATATTATTAAAAAAATTTTAGTTCGTCAGAAAAATTTCTCTGTAAAGAGCTGGGAAGAGAAATTTCTCGCCAACTATTATGAAAAATGTTACATGTCTTTCATATTATAAAATCTTAATATTAAAAATGTTACTAAAAACTCCATTATTATACTTATATATAGTAGTTTATTATCAATAATAACATGATATAAGTATTATTAATTTCCCCCCTCTTTTTATGGCCATTAATTTATTATTTTTCTTGAATGGAAGATCAGTATTCACTAAAACTGGAATTTACCAGTGACGAAACAAAAATGCTAGAGGCCTCAAAAATTTTATCAAAAGTTTTACCAAATATCTCACATGGGTATGGGACCCATATGGGACTCACATTGTGTGGGTCCCACACTCATGTGAGACATTCGATAAAACTTTTAGTAAAATATTTGGAGTTTCTAATATTACTCGAAAAGTATAATTTTGCTAATTCATTTATGAGGTGAGTTAATGAAATCCGTCATTTTTGACTTAAGTTGAAGCTGTAGGGTCTAACTTCTTTAATGTTTCATTAATTCACTTGCGTATGTAAAATTGTTGTTATGAATTTTACCAAATAAAACCTCTTAATTAGTGTAAAATAACAAAGATATATAGGGAGAAGATAAGTGTGTTAAAAGTTAAGTCTATGATGTAAAATTGTGTCTACTAAATAATATTAATTAAAAAAAAAGTAAAGAAAGAGAAATTACAAAATAAAAAAATCAGCTTTTGACTCTTATAATAACATCAATCATGTATTTTAATTTTATTAATTTAAATCATAATTTTTTTTTATTTTTTTCAATTTAAATCATTTGTCTATTTTCACTAAATAAAATCAATAAAAAAATAAGCATTTAACCATTAAATTCAATAAAAAAATATTTAAGACATTTTATATACACTTATATTAAGTTGAATGATTAAAATATTATTGTTTCATTGATTTTACCTAAATTAAAAAATTATGATTCAAATTGATAAAATTTAAAATTCATGATCTATTTTGTTACAAAATCAAATTTTGAGATTTATTTTTTTGTAATTATCCTAAAAAATATTACTTTATCTAAAAAAAAGAAACTAATTAATAACCATATATTTAAAATTAATTATCTTCATTAAAAAGATATATTTGTAATTATTTTAAAAAATATTACTTTATCTAAAAACAAAAAACTAATTAATTACCATATACCTTCATTAAAAAGATATAATACAAATATAGTGCTATAATTAGGTACTAGTAGATTATCTGTAGTGCTGAGAGAGTGAGAGAGACAGGAGAGTAGTAATGATCAAAATCTGAAATGGGTAGAAAGTCCCGCACACGGAGGGTGAGCGTCCGCGACTCCAAAATTGGAATTTTTCCGCTAGCGTGTCGGTTAAGGCCTGCCCTCCTTTATTATATGTACAAAAATTATCCGTAACTTGAAAAATTGAGGTTTGCATGACTCGAATAATATAAAAAATGTTATCTTATTAATAAGAGAATAAAATAAAAATCTTAAAATCATATTGTTTTAATTCCGTAACGATATTGTTATATATATTATTTTGTTTATATTTCTTAATTTGTAAAAATGATTAAACTAAAATCTACTATATAATTAGTAAATCTTAATCATCAAAACCATGTTTAAAGGAAAGTTTATTGCCCTCAATTCAAGCAAATCATAGCTCTAGTACACACACTCTCTCTCTCTCTCTTTCCCCACCACCATATCACCGTCACCACCACCACGACCACCACCTCTCTCTCTCTCTCTCTCCTCTGCTTTTGCCCTAAAATCGCTATTCTCTGAAGCTCTGAAAAAGCAACACTGAGCTCTCTCTCTCTCTATCTCTTGAATGTGACTAGCCATTTGAACAAAGCCACTTCTCTTGCAAGAATTTCTGTTGGGTTTGTTCTTTCTCTCTTTTTGGCCTTTCTCTTTTAAATTCTATGCTCGAATCGTACGCATTCGGCTTCGTTTTTTTAGCTTAATTCAATTCAAAACCAGTGATAAACGTCGTTGAATTGAAGTATCTGCAACTTACGATCAAAGTTATATATATATGTGTGTGTATCTGTGTTTTATGATTGAAACAACTTTTTCAAGCGAGTGATTAGATCTGTGACAGTTTTGGGGAGAGAGAGAGGGAGAGAGATTGCAAGAATCTATTTATTGCTGGTGAGTAGTCTATACTGTTAGGTTTGAATTTGGTCCCTTTTGTTTTGGTCATACGTTACAGTCTGATTAATTACTGCAATCACCTTTTACATGATTTCCTCTATGTTTCCTTATTAGGTTTCTTCATTTATGGCTCTTCAACCTACTTGGGTCTCTCTCTTTTCCCAAAAATCATCCTGAAAGCACAAGCTTTTCTGGTCTGAAACCTTTAATTTTGGGAAGCTTTTCAGGTTTCTTTAGTTTTTTGGAGTGAATTGCACCTTATGTCATCATTTATAAATCAGCTGCTTTGGTTTTCTTGGCCTAGATTATCGCTTCTTTCTGGGTCTTTGCTCTTTAGAAGATTGGGGTTTTAACTGCAAATTTCTCGCATTTGAGGTTGAAAAATCGAGGGTTTTTGTGTGAATCTATATATACACATAGGAGTATCTGGTGAAGGACCTGTTGATGAGTATGAAGAAATATGTTAATTCCCACTCAGGAAGGGGATTTAGTGATAGGAGGTGGGTTCTTCCATTTTTTGCTAGTGTCCTGGTGTCAATTACTCTATTTATGGCTGCTATTTTTGGGTTGTATTCATCTTCCTATGGTGGGGATCAAGTGCAGTTTGACATTATTTCGCTCGATAGACCGGAGGACTCTAGTGGGTTTTTTGTAGAATCAGATTTAAAGAGATCATTGAACACCAGTCGAGTTTTAGATATTGAGGCGCCTAGATTGGCTTATCTGATATCGGGAACAAAGGGAGACAGTCAAAGAATGATGAGGACTTTGCAAGCTGTGTATCATCCAAGAAATCAGTATATTCTACATCTGGATCTTGAGGCTCCACCACGTGAAAGGTTGGATTTGTCAATGTCAGTGAAGAATGATCCAACTTTTCGTGAAGTGGAGAATGTGCGTGTGATGGCGCAGTCAAATTTGGTGACATACAAGGGCCCTACGATGATAGCTTGCACACTTCAGGCAATTGCAATTTTGTTGAAGGAGAGCTTGAATTGGGATTGGTTCATAAACCTCAGTGCTTCAGATTATCCTCTTATGACGCAAGATGGTTAGTGCTGTGGGTTGTTTCTTAATTAGTTCATAATCGTGATTATAATTTTTATCATATATATTTATATATTATATACTTATTACTTGATGTTTTCCATTTTTTTTTTCTTTTCCTGTTATTTACAACTTTAGAGAACAATAATATATGATCTAAGAGCTTCTAGTTTACATAAACTTTTATTTTCCAAATGGCCTATAAATTACGCCGTTTGCTTGGCTGAAATATTAAACATGTCGTGGTCTTGTTCTGTTGGTCACGTATTCAGTTCAAATATTGATTATTACATTATATTGTTCCCATGAGGTTTCCTGATTTAGGATGAAGCTACTTTCGAACTTTTTTTTTTGGCTAGGGGAGGGGCAAAATCTAGGTAAAGGATTTGCTTTGTAGGTAAGGTTGAACCAGTGAGATGATGTTTGAGATTTTGGGTTAAAGATCTTTAAAGAATGTGGCTACAGAACCAGTGCAGGGTGTGAATTGGAGATGCACTTAGGTGAGACATGTCCATCATTTGAAATCATACCCAAAACAATGATGGAGCTAAGTTTTTATAGAGTAGAATGAGGGAACTAAGAAGCTAAATTCTCACCAGATGAGTTAATTTTATCTGGTTTGAACTATCTCTGACACAAAGAAGATGAATTGAGGTTGCTAGTTTGGTTTTTTGGGGCAAAATTGGTTGGTATGTACATTGGGAAAATTGCTCTTGTTGAGGGAGGGTAAATATTTCTATGAAGTTTGCCTAGGGCTTATGGAATGAGCAGTGTGAAATATTTTTTGTACATAAGCATGGAATTGTTTGAAAATATGGAACTCCAATTTTGAAAGGCAGGGGTTCACTGAGTCGACTGTATCCTCCTATCTGTAGCTTGGGGGTGGTATTTGAGGAACTTTCATCAATAATTAGTGAAATCTTCACCCTTTAATATTTGAAGATCCTTCTACATGAAATCTAGAAGGTAAAGGCTAGGGTAGCATCAGAATAATAGAAAAATATATTTCTTCTTGGTCCTATTTTAGTATGGTAGTTAAGAACCACATGTCTTTTATTATTCCTTTCGTTGTTTTTCTGGGTATGCAATATAGATGTCAGTAGTCTATACTGTTAGGTTTGCCCCCCCCCCCCTCAATCATGAATCATAAGATTCACTTTATTTGGCATAATATATAATTTTTATAGGTATATAAAATATACAGAGTGTTTAAAATAAAATAAATATCAATATAATTAAATTGTATATATCTACATATAAAATTATAATAGTTGGACTTAATTCTTATCAAGTCTTATTGAAAATAAGTCTTTTGTAAAATCATCGTTAAAAATATTTTTTTTGTTATGATTTTTTACATATGTCGTTAAAAATTAACAATTAGTAACTTTTTTTGTCATGATTTTTATAAATTGTCGCTAAAATTACAATTAGTGTCCTTTTTTTGTGATGAAATTTTCAAATTGTCACTAAAAGTTATGAATTAGTGACACTTTTTTGTGATATTTTTTTAAACTGTCGCTAAAACTTATAATTAGTGACATTTTTGTGACAATTTTCATATTGTCGCTAAAATTAACAATTAATGACGTTTTTTAATAGTGTTTAATGAAAAATGATATTAATTATCATAGGACCTATTGGATAATATGTCCACTTATTAGGACCTACACGTAAATCCCCCTATAATTAATTGATCCCTTTTTATTTTGCAAAAACAATGCCCTTTCATACATTATGCAAACAAAACTGAACTGCAGATAATAATAGTGAATTGTAGTTCATCTTGCTTCTTGGCTAGAGAATTGGTTGCTTTCAGTGTTGTACAGTTGGGTAGAAAGGAAGGTGGATCCAGATGCGTTTGTTTTCTTCAATTTTTTGGATGGCTTAATTAATTGGTTAGCTGATTAGGGCCTTCCTGTATAGGGATTTTTGTGTGTATTCTTTTGCATCGACTTGATGCTTTTCTAATAAAGTTATTATTATTTATCATAATTATAATAGTGAATTATAGTGAATTGCAATTGAACCATACAATTTACTCCATTTAACATTCAATAATACGAATCAACTAATTTTGCTTGAAACTCATATCAAATTGGATTAATTGAATTGTAAATCGTAAGATTCTAACAACAATAATGTACTGTCGATGAAATAAGCCAAAATCATGTTGATGAGGTCGTAATGGTGTAAGTAGACAATTGTTCTTATCTAAAGCTTTTTTCCCTCTCAATTTTATGATGAAGTGCCATGGTATAAAACTATCGATCTAGAGCATAGGCTGCTTCAACTTTTGGTCTCTTAGGCCTATTTGTATGCATACATCTTGATCCAACTTCTGAGATTCAGACGGTAGTTAGTTTAGGACCTTCAGGTAGACTCTTGCCCATATGACTTGGGTATTTTATGAAGAATTGCTTTTTAATACTAAAAATTCACATTTCTACAACCCTTTGAAAACAGATGTAGAGGTTTTTTAATAAAAGAAAATTAAATAAATAAATAGAGTGAGTTATTATACCCTGTACTTGATGAATAAGATTAGACATTATTTTATTTTACTTAAAGGGGAGGGCCTTGATTTGTTATTTTGTCGTTGGCCACTTATTTTTTGGGTAAAGAAGTAAATCAGGCGGGACTTTAGCATTGAACTTTTCCTGTAGCAATGGCTCTCTTTTGATCTTATCTTGCAGTTCAAAACATATATGATTTCATGAATTTCATGTAGTTCTGTGTTGGTGCTGATGTAGCACCAAGAAGAAGATGAGGACATAGAATTATTAAGAAAAGAAGAATTTGGAGACGGGAAGATGAACAAGAGGAGAGAAAACAGGAGCCAATCCCAAATCAATATCTCAATAATCAATACCTAAAATCATAATCTCATAAAACCACACATAAAAGGCCTATTTATAGGTAGCTTAGGAAGCCCTAATTGAATTTACCAAAAATAAAAGCTACAATAATTAAATCCTAATAGAAAAATAAAACCTAAAATCCAATAAATGTAAAAAAATGACAACATGCCTTTTCAATCCTCATCAGGGGCCTTGAAAAGCAAAACTCCTTATTTGAAAAGTCAATGTAATAGACTTGGGTCATAGTTCGACTAGCTTCTTTAATCCTGAGACAAGGCCTCGTGTTTTGACACATGATGGACTTGTCAAACTATCCAGTCACTTCCATGGTATACTGTATGATAAAGTTTGTGTAGCATTTCTAGTTTTTATGATTTCGAAATATGCATACTTCATAGTTGCATATTTTTGGAAGTATCTCATGTAGTTTCAAGTAATTTAGAAATATGTGTATCTTTCTCTGTTAGATGTTATTGTCTTGTATGTCTTAAATAACAAAGATGTCAGATACATTGTTGTGCTGTGTCATGTATGATGTTGAATACTTTTACCTATTTGGGGCACCCATGAATCATAGCTCTGAACCAATAGAATCAAAGGAGGTTTCCTCTTCCAATGCAGGAACCTCAAAGGTGTATTATAATTTCTACGTTAATGTATCAAAAATGCAGCCAAAGTATATTTCTCTGAAATTAGAGAATGAAGGTTTTTGTTTCTAGTTGTGTGGGGCAGACAAGGTTTATTCCTCACGTACTTGGCAAAGACTATCTAGGGGCAGACAAGGTTTATTCCTCACATACTTAGCAAGGACTATCTACTTCCAAAGTTTGGTTCCCTTTGTTTATTTGTTTGTTTCTTTTCTTTGATTGGAACAGCCTAGATGAGATGCCCTTTCATACCCAATAGCTAGAAGTCTAATAATTGCATATGTAAGTTGTGATAGCTACAACTACTAGCAGGATGCAATGACATACCTTGGGTCTGTTTGATTGTGTGTTTTTGCTTTCTGTTTTCATTTTTATGAAAAATATAGAGAATTGTTTCCAAAATGATCTGTTTTGGGAAAAGTTTCAGAACAACCCACTTTTTTTAGTAAAATAAAACCAAATAATTGTTTTCAAATTTTTTAAAACAGTTTTCACTCAAAAATGTAAATGATATGAGAATGATGTGCATTTTCTGAACTTTTCATTATTTTTGTTTTTGAAAACACGAAAAATGAAAACAAAGAAGAAAGCCACAACCAAACAGGCCCCTTATGTTTCATCAATGGTATGAAATGCATGGAGGCAACTTTCCACGTTAATTACTAGGCCAAAAAAATCACATAAAGCTATGGCAACGAGTAAAATTGAGATTTTGTGATGGCGAAGTCCTTGTTTTTGTCATTCTTTTATACTGGACTTCTTGCATTAACAAGGCAGTTTTAATACCCATTTTATTGCTATTCCAATACAATTCTACAAAAGCCATCCTATTATCATTTAATAATGTTTTGCTTTTGCACATTGATTTAGAAATGAAAGATGTTTGTGTATCTTGGAAATTTCAAGTGGCCAGTATCTTTACTGAAATAGTACCTATAGTGCATTTTGTTGAACTGCATTGAATGGTAGAACTAATGCAATCAGAAATGGTATGTCACTTTGATTTTTTAATTTTATTATATTAAATGATTTATACATATTATCTGGACATGGCATGAGGAAATTTAAGGTATCCAATGATTTGTTATTTTGTAGCATGAGAAGATATCTGATGTGTGTTCTGATTGTGCAGATCTACTGCATGTTTTTTCTAATATGTCCAGGAATCTAAATTTTATAGAACATACACAGATTCGTGGTTGGAAACTGTAAGTAATATAGATATATAGAGTACATATTTGCCTACCACCGTTTCTTTTCTTACAAGTCACAGTAATTTTACTTTTGCAGGAACCAGAGAGCAAAGCCAATCATAATTGATCCAGGCCTATATCTATCAAAAAAATCTGATATTGCTTGGACAACTCAGCGTCGATCACTTCCCACATCATTCAAGTTATTTACTGGTATGTTAATTCAACCAAACAATTATGAGTTGAACTAAATGTGGACTTTCTTGTATAATTATGAGTTGGCCATAGTTGCTTGTTTTTCTTTGATAAGTGTTCAAGTGAGTTTCTGGGAGTTCAACTACCTTGCAATTTGGAATAGAATGACACAGCTTTGGATTTATGATGATACCCGCCTGTCATATCTAAAATTCTATATAAGGATTACGGTAATGTTGGTTTTTAAAATGTTGCTTGGCCGGTTTTCCTAAACCGGCACCGGTTTGAACAGGTAGCTGTTTCAAATCAGGTTATTCAGAAATAAGCCGGTTCTCTATTTAAAACAGGTTCGGTGGTTTATCCAGATCAGAATTTAGAATTTGCTTCACAGCCTAGTTATGTTGTCTTATTCTTGAGCTGAATTAAAAAAAAAATTGTTTCTTCCCTCTTTAGTGGTATTGTTGGACAAGACTTGGATTAGATGATGTCTGTTCGAGTTAAACTTTTCAATTATGGTTTGCTCTATATGTAGGTTCAGCGTGGGTGATGCTAACCCGGTCCTTTGTTGAATACTGTATATGGGGATGGGATAATCTCCCGCGAACTATCCTCATGTATTACACAAATTTCATTTCTTCTCCTGAGGGTTACTTCCATACCGTTATTTGCAACACCGAAGAATTCCGTGAGACTGCAATTGGCCATGATCTCCACTACATTGCTTGGGACAATCCTCCAAAGCAACATCCTCTCTCTTTGACCATTAAGGACTTCGATAAGATGCTCAACAGCACCGCTCCATTTGCTCGGAAATTTGCAAAGGATGATCCAGTTTTAGACAAGATTGATAAAGAGCTTTTAGGCCGCACAAATCGTTTTGCTTCCGGGGCATGGTGTGTTGGGAGGTCAGATGGTGAGGCTGACCCGTGTTCCATACGAGGTGATGATTCATTGTTTAGACCTGGTCCGGGTGCAAAGAGGTTGCAAGAACTAATGGATAACCTTTTGTCTGAAGAGTTCAGAAGCAAGCAATGTTCAGGTCCAACGTGAGATTGTTGGCTTGGTTTTGGACCCAAGTCATTCTGTATTTAGGGCTCGAGAGGTTGCAAGAATCTGTTTGAAAACTGAAAATTTTCCGGGAAAATGGGGTTCGTCAAAGTTCATAGTTAATTAACCCAAGTGTACATTTATGTATTGATAGAGTTACAGTTTTGATGTACAATTGTGGAGTTTTCTTCTTTTTAATCAAATGAACTTTAAAGTCACAAATTTATAGTCCTCCGAATGGTTTTTGCTGAATTTTAGCTGCTTTAAGAATGCTCTGGAATCTGGATTGTGTTTGTGGATTTTCATTTGGAATATTGAGAACTAGAAACAGAGAATTTATTTATTTATAGTTTGAAAAGCTTGCAACTTTAGTCTTTGTTCATGTTTGTTTCTCCACACCAGACCTAGAACTAGTCAGAGTCAGTAGAGATCAGTTTCATGTATCTTTCAGTGATCATCTCTGGTGAAAAGTCGGTGAAATACCCCTTCTCTACATCAAGCCCTTCTTGGGCCGCGACCATTTCAACATGGTTCTGGACCCGATCTGCCCCAACCTGATTTGGCTCCAAGAGCATGCAAGCTATCTCAGTCGACTCCTCACCGTGAACCAGGCCTAGGGTTTGCACAGTTGGGAGCCCACCTCCTCGTGCACTCACCATTTGTGCAATCCGTCTTGTGGCTGAAACATCCGTTGACAAAATGGGCACGTTATATGTGGCAACCCACGAACGGGCTCCAATCATTACGATGCCTCTTGCTCGAGTTACTAGGGTTGGCCCTTCATCGGGTTTCTCTGGAAGAACTTCTGGCATGGCCCATCCAGCCCATTGGTTGCCCATGAAGTTCGGCCGGTAGTAGCCCATCTCACGCCTGATGGTATCCAAAGCCTTCCCGGTTGGGTGTGCAGCAGCATATAGATACACTGGCACTGCAGTGAATCAAAGTAAAGCCAAAAATCAACAACTTAAAATATAAATAAAACTTCAGACAAAAATAGCATGAAAATGTTTAATCTGTTCCCTAATATTTAATCTATCATTTTCAAAAGTCATTATGATGGTTATTTTAAGCTATCATTTTCAACTTAAAATATAAACAAAGCTTCGGACGAAAGATAGCACAAACATGATTAATATATTCCCTAATATTTTATTATAAGCTATCATTTTCAACTTGTTCTTTTGATTTAGAGGGATAATTCTATTTACACACCATAAAAATTTTCAGTACATATCGTTTATATGGTTTGGATATAAATTTATGAACAAAAGACAAATGTTTGGATATAAACTTACAAACAGAAAAAATTGTTCGGGCACGAACAATTGAACGAAATTTATATTTGAATAATCTATTTTTATTCATCATTGTATGTCCGCACATTTACCTTTTGTTTGAAAGTTTATATCTAAACAAAATAAATAATATATACCGAGATTTCTTATAGTGTGCAAATATAATTTCCCAACGACTATAAGTTGTGCAATTTAAATTTACTTTTGTGTCCTGTAAAATCTTTAGGTAATGCCAATATTTTAGTAGTACCGGAGTATGCCAGCTACAATGCAAGGCAATCTCAGAAACAGCTAACACGGTCCAAAATGCACTACATGAATATAGCCTAGAAAAGCCTCCCCTGCAATCTTTGTCAACTAGAATTAATTGATATCCACGCACCTTGGAATCGATTGCCAATGTCTGCTGCCACTGCTTTGGCAAGCCAAGCTGCTTCATCCAACGATGCTCGAGCCAATGGATGGAAAACAATGTCATCCACAACCCCGAGCCGAGGGTGTGCCCCCGAGTGTGATTCAAGGTTTATGGCTCCATAGGCAGCCTCGACCACTGCTAGGACGGTTTGCTGCAAGGGGCTGTAAATGGGGCATCCTGTGCTATCATGAGCTACATATGATACAAGAGTGTACCTGACCCGGTTGTAAGCTCGATCCTCAAACTTGTTAACAATGACGGTTTCTGGGTTGAGCTTAGCTGCCTGTTCAATCAAATCGAGAGCTGCTTTGTTTCGAGATTCTGAGATATAGAGCTTACAGCAAAGTAGCATCGATTGCTTTGTGGTTTTTTTCTTGTCCTTGTGCAAACAAAAGGAAATCAAGAGTAAAAGGCAAGCAAAATTGAAACTTCCGACTACATTTAGATTTAAATGTGCTGCATATTATGACTATATGTGTCACAAATTCCTAATTCACCACTTTACTGTAATTTATTTTGTTTGTTATTAATAATTATAACTCGTAATGTTACGTTATGTTTCAATTTGTATGTTACATATGTTCAATAAAAAAATGTAAATATCATTGTTGTTACTTCAATAAACATACTAAAATCTAGGTATTCATATCTTCAAGTTAAACAAGTGACACAACATATAACTTACGAGTTACAATTACTACACAAAAGTGTTCATGTTCAGTGCATAAATTTAAAATAGAAAAGAGGAGAAAATGAGCAAAAAAAATTTGACTTTTAAATGTAGCAAAAGTCATCACCACTGTTACGTAACGGCGGCAACTGTTATACTTGGGAAATATACTTGTGAAATGTAATTATACTGCTATAGTGGTTGTAACAGGTAGTGGTGAAGACCCATATGGGTAGATGTTTTTTAAGCCTGTTTTCCAGGATTTTAATTTTTTAATTTTTGTACATTTATTTTAGAAAACATTAATTAGGGCCTGTGATTTTTTTTATTATTTTTTTTTATTATTATTTTACAGAATATTACCTAAAAATAGCAGTAAAAAACCAAGCAAAAAAGGCCAATAAAGCAGTACCCATGTAGTTTTAGAACTATTTTTTTAAAAAAAAAAATTATCTGCTTCACCATCAACAACTAATTATTATACAATAATCAAAGAAGTCACATGAATAATGGGAATAGTATCATCAACCAAAGGTGTACCAGCAGTGCAAAGTAATAGGAAGGAAAAAGAGAAGCAAAAACTGGGGGTTATATATAATGATAATCCCATCCCAAGGATAGTTGGGAGAGAGATCAGATAAGCTACTGCATTTCCAAACTTGATTGCCTAAAAGAAAAGAAAGTTTATACTAAATTTCAGTTGATCTAAACCACTTCTTTCTTCAATTGAAGTGAGCAAGAGAGAAATCTTTGTTAGTACACACAAATCACACCTCATCCCTGTCCCTCTTCTCTTCAATTGGGAAACTAATATAAAGGGATCATGCTATTTGAAGAACTCAAAAACAATCAGAGTGTGGTGAATCCATACCTTGGAACTTGGGGTGAAATCCATGATGATCTTTTCCTTTGCTTGAGTTTTGTTTGTTGATTTACCTTTGTTTCAAGGGGGAACTGAAATGAGAGAGATGGATATATCTATTATATATATACACACACATATCTATGTATAAGACACATGGTGTCATAAAGATATGCAGCTGTTGAGTCAGCATTGAAAAAACACACATACAAAATACAAACAAGTGTCCCCACTCAATGGCCACAGACCAAGGATTCTCTAGAGTGATTTTTTCTTAAAATTTTCTAGAGTGTTACATTGTGTGGTTAAATTTACTGGCAAGTCACATCAGAAAAATTGATGTGACTTGCCAATAAATCTCAACCACACAATGTAGCACTCTAAGAAACTTTAGAAAAATTTCACTCTAGAGGATCCTTGGTGATGGCCACAAGCTTCACGTGTCACTATCCATGTGTGTGTGTATATAAGTTTGTAGTGATTGGCATTACCTGCAATTAAACAAAAGAACATAAAAGCAAGCACAAGTTCAACTTACTTTGCTTCTTCTAGGGATGAAGTACTTACTGGTGGGGGTTGGTTTGGAAGAAGGGGGTTCTATAGATGTTTATAAAGGCACATTCCATCACTATTTTGCCTTTGTTGCTTCTGGTTAATGATTTTTTTCCCCATCAATTCAGTGCCAAGTGAATATTGGAGGGTTGCATCTTTCTAAACTTAAATCTTAAGATATTGTATTTTTAAATTGGATATAGGTAAAGCGAACATGAACACGTTTATATATATTACATATTATATAATATTCTTAAATAAAAATGTAATTTATATCATTCATTTATATTAGAAGTTAGAAATGTCTTTTACTAATAAATATAAGTTTCTTGTTCTCCTTTTATTTCCTCAATCAATAAGAGATTAATTACAATGGTGAGAAAAATTATATTAACTTAAACAATTATAATCTAATAACACATAACTATAAAGCCAATAATTACCAAGCTTAATAATTCATCATAAAAAAACCGACAACCACCACCAAGCCTAACACAATCATCGGGATGAAAAAAAAAATAATCATCATCAAGATCAATAAAATAAAATAAAAAATACAATTTTCATAATGGTGAAAAATAATCGACATTTGCCTTTAGCAAGAATTGACCATCTAACCTCCCAAATAGAAATATATAAGAGTAGTCAATTGAACTAACTCCAAGATAGAAGCACCTTTTTCTTCAAACATTATACAAAATTAGATAATTCAAATATCTAAATTAGATATAATATTAAATGCATATCTCACACTCTTACTTTTATCATATTCGATAGATACAAGTGTATTGCAAAAGTGAAAGAGTTCATATTAAAAAAAAAAAAAAATGGAAGAATTCATATGACACAAATCTCTATCCACTTCCATTTATTGAATTATATATAAGAATATCATGAACATAGAAGCATAATTTAATTGCTGTCAATTTAAAAATATAAATGATTAAGAATACATTAACATAAAAATAACAAAGAGATTAAAAACTGAAGATTTTGGCCCGTGCTTCCATATTATGGTAACTAATAATAAATGGTATGAGATAGCCCACAGATGTGGAATAATTGTTAGACCATTCGATTACCTAGGTTAGGTAAGCATGTGCACCTAACACATGTGGCACCATACACCCAGATTTAATTACAATGCTTGGATTTTTAATTACACCTAGGGCTAGCCCACAGATTTAATTACAATGCTTGGATTTTTAACTTCTAAAATTAGGGAGGTAAGAAAAATCGATTAAATTGATTGAATCGGATTAAACCAGTCATATTTGATTGGTTTTTTAATACGAATCGGTCTGTTCGGTTTTGAAAATTATTTTTTTTTGATTTTCGGTTCGATGGCGGTTTTGATATACTATACACCGATTTGCACCGAAACAAACCGAATATATTTACATATAATATATATTAAATATATGATGAATATTTTAACTCTATTTGATAGACTTGTAGTTTAGACTTATGGGATGATAGTTTTAAGTTTTGGTTATGTTTTGATGTCAAGACTTTGGTTCTTAGATTATATTTTTTTTTTCTAATTCTAATTTAGTAAAAGCTTCAAGCCTTAGTATTTATAAATTTTTTTGTTTGTATTTTTGTGAATGGTTGGTTAGATATGGTCAAAATTGTGTACAAATGGCTAATTTAATATTTTTATATAAATTATTTATTATACTACAAATTTAAGAAATGACTCAATTTTAAAAGTACTTAAACCGATTAAACCGCATTGAGCCGAACCATTTGAATCGGTGTGGTTTGGTGCGGTTTGATAAAAAATTCAGTCTGTATTGGTTTTCAATGTAATAAAACTGACATTATCGGTTCGGTGCAAAATTTCACTTAAATACCGATCATCCCGAACCGATTACATCCCTATCTAAAACTGATTTTTTTAATAAACAAAAAGGAAAAAAATTTTAAATTTCATCAACAAATTCCAGATTCAAAAATAATTTAGTCGTGAACATTGATCCTCAACCCCACAAGAAATAAAAAAATAAAAAATAAATAATTGCCACGATTGATAACACAATAATATTGAAGATTTAGGACCCTCTATATTAGTGTGTATATATATTTTTTATGGACTCTTTATGGTGGATCAGTTTTCCTTTGGTTATTCTGAGCTATTTAAAGAGGCAACTCTTTGATTTGAGGCTTTCTTACCCTACTTTTGATGAGGTTTTAATAATGAATTGATGACGAGGCTCCTACATTAGATGGATAGGCTATTTGGAAATTTTTGTAGCTGAAATGTCAACGACTAATTACAATACTTACAGACAAGGAAAAAGACTAGAAACAAACAAATAGATGTTTTTTTTTTTTAATTTTAATTTTAATTTTTTTTGAATAATAAAGAACAAACAATTGATGTGGCCAGAAAGAAAGACCAACATGTTTTCAATAATGTACTGACATGAAAGTTCAACTAAAAAATGAATTTGGATCCTCGGCCACCCTTCTGGGCGGCCGTTCCCAGCAGCCCCCCCAAAACGACGTCGTTTTGGGGGTTTTTTCGTTTTTTTTTAAACTAGTCATATTTGGTTGGTTTTTTAATACGAATCGGTCTGTTCGGTTTTGAAAATTAATTTTTTTTTTATTTTCGGTTCGATGGTGGTTTTGATATACTATACACCGATTTGCACCGAAACAAATCGAATATATTTACATATAATATATATTAAATATATAATGAATATTTTAACTCTATTTGATAGACTTGTGGTTTAGACTTATGAGATGATAGTTTTAAGTTTTGGTTATGTTTTGATGTCAAGACTTTGGTTTTTAGATTATATTTTTTTTTCTAATTCTAATTCAGTAAAAGCTTCAAGCCTTAGTATTTATAAATTTTTTTGTTTGTATTTTTGTGAATGGTTGGTTAGATATGGTCAAAATTGTGTACAAATGGCTAATTTAATATTTTTATATAAATTATTTATTATACTACAAATTTAAGAAATAACTCAATTTTAAAACTACTTAAACCGATTAAACCGCATTAAGCCGAACCATTTGAATCGGTGTGGTTTGGTGCGGTTTGATAAAAAAATTCAGTCTGTATTGGTTTTCAATGTAATAAAACTGACATTATCGGTTCGGTGCAAAATTGCACCTAAATACCGACCATCCCGAACCGATTACATCCCTATCTAAAACTGATTTTTTTAGTAAACAAAAAGGAAAAAAAAATTTAAATTTCATCAACAAATTCCAGATTCAAAAATAATTTAGTCGTGAACATTGATCCTCAACCCCACAAAAAATTAAAAAAATTAAAAAAAAAATGATTGCCACGATTGATAACACAATAATATTGAAGATTTAGGACCCTCTATATTAGTGTGTATATATATTTTTTATGGACTCTTTATGGTGGATCAGTTTTCCTTTGGTTATTCTGAGCTATTTAAAGAGGCAACTCTTTGATTTGAGGCTTTCTTACCCTACTTTTGATGAGGTTTTAATAATGAATTGATGACGAGGCTCCTACATTAGATGGATGGGCTATTTGGAAATTTTTGTAGCTGAAATGTCAACGACTAATTACAATACTTACAGACGAGGAAAAAGACTAGAAACTAGGGCTGAGTAAGGAATCCGTGAAATCCGTAATCCGATCCAGTCCAGTCCAATCCGATAGGTTTGGATTGGTTTTTTGAATCCGTGGTTCGGTTCCGGATTGAATAATTAAAAATCCGTAGTTCACGGATTGGTTCCGGATTGAATCCCACGGTTCCGGATTGGAACCGATCCGGACCGTATACAAATAGTCTATATTTTTATTATACATTCTCCCCCATAGTATCTTTTCTTATTCTATGTAAAATCTAAACTCAAACCTAAAATCGTATAATATCTTCTTTTATTACTTTTGTTTGTTAGTTTTAAGTTTTAATTTGCAATGGTCTAAATACTTATGGTGAAACCAGTTTTCTTATGGTTGTTTAAATTCTAGAACAGTATGTCGTTATTATAGAAAAACATGTTGCTATTATGGAACTAATATAGCGCTATGTTTATATTTTTATGAAATTCAAGTGTTATATATATATTTTTGTTATTTAATTATGTGAATCCGTGGTCCTAAACCGATCCAATCCGTATTTAAATGGATTGGTTCGGATTGGTTCCATGATTTAAACGGATTGGATTGGTTCCAATTTTTTAGGAACCGTAAATAACGGATTGGTCCTGGTTTTATTCCAATCCGGTCCAATCCGGACCATGCTCACCCCTACTAGAAACAAACAAATAGATGTTTTTTTTTTTAATTTTAATTTTAATTTTTTTTGAATAATAAAGAACAAACAATTGATGTGGCCAGAAAGAAACACCAACATGTTTTCAATAATGTACTGACAATGAAAGTTCAACTAAAAAAGATAAAGACTATCTTACTAGGTATAGCCCTATATGGTGTTTTTGTGTTTTGAAAAATGTTTGGGAGCACTAAAAATGGAGCATTAAAAGGGGCACTAATGATGTGGTAGTAGGCCCAGCCCACTTTCTATGCCTTGTTCTTTTTTTTTTTACCATTCTCAATGCATTAGTACTATTAATAATATATTTTTTAATGATCTAAATCATTGTTGTTGTGTTTTATATAATATATATTATGGTAAATTTAATATTTTCACTTTCTCAAGCTCATAATAGGGTTTCAGTCAGGGCCAACCTCCTTTCCCTATAATGAATAATGTTCTCAAGACCTGAGAAAAAAAGAAGAAAAAAAAAAAAAGGGAAGAAATTAATCAATTAAATGTATTGGGTGGAGTAGATGATGTGAAAATGACATTTTCTTTTATGTTGCTAAATAATATCAAGCTTGGCCTTTGATTTGAGTGGAAACCAATCCCAAGCTTAAGTAGTTTGGTTCATGTCAAGACCCAAACCCGCCTTTATAGGTTTAGCGTCATGACCGGTCAGTAATCATAGATTACTTACGGCATCCATTGGAACAAATCAAATTGATATAAATTATGAGGCTTAGTGGAAGCAAATTAAATATAGAAGAAGTCCATCGAGCTATGCATGAATGAAGAGTTCACATTAGCACTGTACATCCATTCCAAAGATAAGTGCATATATTTATATACATAAATACTCAAAAGAAGAAGTTCAGCCACAATCCAAACTTATCAACATGTACAAATTAAAACCCCTATTACCAAAATTTAACCAAGGTTCAAAACAAAAAAGGGGTTTAGACTTCGCTTGGCTCTTCGCGAGACCAAGTTGGCCCCTTCACGAGAGCTTCACAAAAGGCTGACCACGAGGTGACTCCGAGGCAACCTCTATCCTTGATGTTCAACTTGCTCACCTACATATACATACATAAATGGTGAGCTAGTGCCCAATAAGCAATTACAGAATAAAGAGGTTATATGAATGAAGTTCCACAGCAATACAACTATCAATTAAATTAGCCATCATGTCAATCTTTCGCGACGAACAAAACCATTGATCAATAGCATATTCTATACAACTCCAATTTCAATTCAATTCTCAATGTTCCGTGTTATCCCAAGAACAATTCTCATTCAATGACAAATTACGTGGTACATCCAATAAAGTAACAATGTATCAATAGCAATGAGACCTCAAGGGTCAATTAATATATCATATTCAATTATCCAATGGGCCATGGTTTTGTTTTTCTTGGGCAAGGGCCAATTGGCCATGGTATTATATCCCCCAAGCAAGGGCCTATTGAACAATGGGCTATGGTATTAATTTCCCTTAGGCAAGGGCCTCACTAAACGATGCCACGAGTTTACTTTCAAAAATGAACCTCATTCATTAGTAACAAATAGTACTTCAGTAAACTAATCAATCAATCATATATCGATTTGATAACAATAATATTTTTGAAAATAAATATTACTTGAACATATCTTTATAAAGTTATTACTCACAGTGGTTTATGTTGTCACTAAGCCTCGGACGTTTACCTAAACAAAACACATAACAAAAATACAATTGAGACACCAACTCATTTTAATTCAATTCTCTTTATGTGTTATTAGCTTATTCCATGATTATAAGTCCAAATGGTACCTAAGAACACTAGGAGTGGCATGAGGATGCAAATATGCACTTAAAAAGTTGGTAAAATTTTGCTGAAAACAGGGTCTTCGCTCGAGCGCAACTTCCTATGCTCGAGCGGCAGCTCAAAAACAAAGGTGGTCGCTCGAGCGTAACTTCTGTCGCTCTAGCGGTTTGCAAAAGTATTGGTTACATGAAATTCCTGATTGACAGTCGCTCGAGCAGAAGACTGAGAAAAAAGGTCCTCGTTCAAGCGCCACTTTGGTCACTCAAGCAGCTTGTAAAATTTTATAAAACTTCTAGAAGCTTAATTTTCATGCTCGAGTGAAATTTTTCTCACTTGAGCGAATAGTATGAATTCTGAAATTTCCAAAACTGTGTTTGAGTTTCAAGGTTGATATTCAAAGCCTCAAAACTTGTGTTTTTGGAACAAAAACTTGGAAAATCATTACGTAACATGAATATACTTCCAATTTAAAACCATTTGCTCAAAATCATGCTTCAATTGTCCAAGTTCAAGCTTGAATTTCCAAGTTGAAACCATGCATGTTATGGATTGAGCCTCGTTTATGTTAAAACACCACTAGGTGATATGAAATGCATGAATTCATGGATGATCTTCAAGCTCATGCTTCCTAAGCTTCATGCATGTATGAATTTCAAGAAATCTTAGCTCAAAATGAAAGATCAAGCATGCATGTGCATAATTCAACTCAAATTCATCATATCCATTGTAATTCATGCTCAACTTATTCAAATTCAAACAAATGATCCCATAACTCTACGAACTTAGTTTCTAATGACTTGATTCCAAGAATTTGGCTTGAGTTTCATACCTAATGTGTGAATTCAAGTGTTGGACTAGCTCAATTCACCAAAACTCTAGCTATTCACTTTAATCTCCTCTTTCTCTCTCTAAATGTTGAACTCTCCTTCATTCTCTCTCAATTCTCAGCCAAGTGCGTATATATGAGCTCATAAGCTTATTTAGAGCTATTTATAAGGTGTGATTAAGTTAGCTTAATCACTTGTGATTAAGGTCAACTAATTAGGCTTAATTCTAATTAATTCAATCAATTTATTCTAATTATTTTGATCCAAATCAATTTGTAATTAAAGTTACCATAAAATTCTAAATATTCTAATTAACCTATTGGGCTAGTCAATTTCAGTTTCTAAAGTCATCTAAGCTCTCAATTTCTATATCTAAGTTGTCAATTTGAACAGATATTCCATGTAATGACAGATAATCACAAAATTAAGCATATAATCGCATAAATAACACATAATCATGCAATCAGACTTAGTAAACTAGCATTATACACTAGTTCAGAGGTCGGGGTCGTCACAGTCTCTCCTCCTTAGAAAGTTTGGTCCTCCAAACTTAAGTTACCTTCAGATGGAAACAAATGTGGATACCGTTGCCGCATCTCTTCCTCCTTTTCCCAAGTGGCCTCTTTCCTATAATGTTCCTTCCACTCTACTTTCACCATAGGTATAGTTTTGTTTCTCAATTGTTTCACTTGCCGATCAATAATTTGCACAGGCCATTCTTCATACATCATATTCTCATCTAGAGCAATCCGGTGGTGGTCAATCACATGGAACGGGTCTCTAAAATTCCCAGGAAGCATAGATACATGGAAAACATTATGCACTTGTTCTATTCCTGGTGGCAAGGCAATATGATATGCAACAGGACCCAACTTTTCAAGGACCTGAAATGGTCCAATATAGTGAGGAGTTAGTTTTCTCTTTTTGCCAAATCTTACCTGCTCCTTCTTTGGTGTCACCTTGATGAATACATGATCTCCTGCCTCGTATTCTAAGTCCCTTCTTCGCTGATCCGCATAATTTTTCTGTCGGCTTTGTGCAGTTTTGAGCCTTTGTTGAATGATTTTAATCTTTTTGGTTGTCTCTTACACAAGTTTAGTCCCATAAATAGCCTTATCACAAACCTCTGTCCAATAAACTAGCGATCTACCTTTTCTGCCATATAGTGCCTCATATGGTGCCATATCGATACTCGTGTGAAAACTGTTATTATAAGCAAATTCGGCCAATGGCAAATAAGTTTCCTAACTGCCTTGAAAATCCAATACGCACATACGAAGCATGTTTTCTAAGGTTTGAATAGTCCTTTTGGTTTGCCCATCGGTCTGTGGATGAAATGCTGTACTAAATCTCGATTATGTTCCCATTGCATCCTGTAGACTATGCCAAAATCTAGAGACAAATTTAGGATCCCTATCTGATATAATAGACACTAAACTCCATGATAATCTCATCAATGTAGATAGTAGCAAGTCTATATGAAGTAAATAATGTCTTTATAGCAAGAAAGTGAGCAGATTTAGTCAATCTATCAACTATAACCCAAATAAAGTCCATACCTCTAGGTGTCCGAGGTAGGCCGACATCAAAGTCCATGGTGATATGTTCCTATTTCCACTTTGGAATAGGGAGAGATTGAAGTAAACCTGCTGGCTTCTGATGCTCTGCTTTTACTTGCTGGCATTGTAAGCATTTAGAGTTAAAGTCGACAATTTCCTTTTTCATGTTGGGCCACCAATACACTGACTTCAAGTCTTGGTACATTTTAGTGTTTCCTGGATGCATAGAAAACATTAACTTGTGAGTTTCCTCCAAAATTTTCCTTTTTAAATCTGCATAATTCGGAACACACAATCTCCCTTCATATTTCAACACGGAGTTTTCAATTATGAATCCTGGTTTAGGCTTGGTGTCAAGTTCATCACAAATCTTCTTCAAGAACTCATCATTTATTTGTTTCTGCTTAATTTCCTAGATAATAGCAAGCTCGGCAGACATTGCGGCTATCAAGCCATCTTGTTCAAAAGGCACCACTTCAATTTTGAGTTTTTTGAACTCCAGTAGCAGCTCTCTTTGATCTGTGAGTAAACAAGCAAGATTCCCCACACTTTTTCTGCTAAATGCATCTGCCACAATATTGGCTTTGCTTGGGTGATAGTGAATTTGCAAATCATAATCTTTGATTAATTCAAGCCATCGCCTTTGACATATGTTCAACTCCTTCTGTGTGAAAAAGTATTTCAAACTCTTATGATCTGTATACACTTCACATTTGACACCATACAAATAGTGACACCATATCTTTAATGCAAACACCACTGCAGTAAGTTCCAAATCATGTTTAGGGTAGTTCTTTTCATGTGGCCTCAATTGTCGATAGGCATATGCAACCTCCTTGCTATTCTGCATTAAAACACAACCCAAGCCCTTATAAAATGCATCAATAAAGATCATAAAACCTTCGGTACCTAAGGGAATAGTAAGAATGAGAGCTGTAGTCAGTCTTGTCTTCAACTCTTGAAAGGCTATTTCCCTCTGATTCGTCTACTCAAATGGTTCCCTATTTCGAGTCAACTGAGTCAATGGTACAACAACTTTTCAAAAGTCTCTATCAAATCTTCGGTAATACCCTGCCAATCCCATAAAACTACAAACTTTTGATATATTAGTCGGAATAGGCCAATTAATGATTGCTTCAATTTTATGAGGATCAACAGATATGCCATCTTTATTAATGATATGCTCCAAAAATGCAATTTCATCAAGCCAAAATTTACACCTTTTGAATTTCTCATACAATTGTTTTTCTCTAAGTGTTTGAAGAGTTACTCTCAGATGTTGTTCATGTTCATCCTTACTCTTAGAATAAATTAAGACGTCATCAATAAATACAACAACAAAGTCGTCTAGGAAGGGTTTGAAAATTCTATTCATTAAGTCCATAAATGTTGCAGGTGCATTTGTAACACCAAAAGGCATAGCTAAAAATTCATAATGCCCATACCTGGTCCGAAAAGCGGTCTTTTCAATGTTCTCAGTCTTAACCTTCAGTTGATGATACTTCGATCTCAAGTCAATTTTTAAGAATATTTGTGCCCCTTGCAACTGATCAAACTGGTCGCCAATACGTGGCAATGGATATTTATTCTTCACTGTTACCTTATTGAGTTCCTTGTAATCAATACATAGTCGGAGGGTCCCATCTTTCTTTTTTACAAAAAGAACCGGCGCTCTCCATGGTTATGTACTCGGTTTGATAAACCCCTTATCAAGTAATTCTTGCAACTGAGTTTTCAATTCTTTTATTTCAATAGTAGACATGTGGTGGGGAGTTTTAGAAATTGGTTGAGTTCCCAGTATTACATCAATTATAAATTCAATCTCTCTATCAACAAGTTGGCCGGGTAATTCATCTAGAAACATATCAGGAAAATCTTTTACCACTGGTATGTTGTCTAGAGTAATGTCTATAGTTGGTTTAGTTATTACACTACACAAATACCCTTGACAACCCTTATTTATTAGTTTTTGGGCTTTCATGGCAGATATGAGGTACGGTGGTGGAACTATCCATTTTCTCTCAAAATAAAATTCATCTTGTCCGAGAGGTCAGGATATTACTCGTTTCAAGGCACAATCAATAGTTGCATAGTATTTAGCTAGCCAATCTATACCCAAAATAACATCAAAATGTCTTATGTCTAAAGGTATTAAATCAGCATACAAAACAGCATTCCCGAGAAATAATTCACATGCAATGAATACAGTTGAACATAGCATGGATCCTCCCGTAGGTGATGCAACACATAGTATATAGTTCAATGTTTCCATAGGTTTATTCAGAGTTTCAGCAAAAACCATAGAAACAAATGAATGTGTAGACTCTGAGTCTATTAAAACATAAGCAGGTTTACCACAAATGGAGATTGTACTTGACACTACTGCCTTAGTATTTCGAGTATCCCCCAGAATCAGTGCAAAGACTTTTCCCTGCCTCTGTTCATTTCTTGTGGTAGACGGTGTTGTAGTTGGTCTTGTTGTAGGAACTGATCCAATCGAGTTTGTGGCATCTTGGTTACTATTCTGACGCGACTGTGTGCAATCTTTCGCCATATACCCTATCTTTCCACACTGGTAGCAAGCCCCCGTAGTACGATAGCAAACACCTCGATGCTTTTTTTTCCACAAATGGTACAAGTAAGTACTGAGTTGCCATTTTGGGTTAACCCTGAATTGCTGGAATTCCCAGACTTCAACTTCTTATTTGTTGATGGTGTCCTCTCATTAAAATTCTGCCTCCTGCCATTCCATTTGAAGTTCTGTTTACGGTTGGCCACATTTCTTAATGCTATTAGCGCCCTATCAAGCACATCCATGTATGTCGGCAATTTGAGCACGTTGATTTTATCCAAAATTGGATCACGCAAACCTCTCTCAAATTGTCTAGCCTTTTTATAATCTGTACTTACCATGTGAGGTGCAAATTGAGCTAATTCTGTAAACTGAGCCTCATATTCAGCAATTGACTTATTTCTTTGGTTGAGTTCCATGAATTCAGCTGTCTTTCTGTCCCATACACATTGGGGAAAATATTTCTCGTAGAAGATTTCCAGAAAAAGAGCCCAAGTAACATCCTTATTATCATCCTGAACCAACATTCACCAACGCCTTGTATCATCTTCCAATATGAATGTAGCTAGTTGTACCTTTTGGGCTTTGGTACATGGAAACACTTCAAACAATTTTTCAATTTCTAAGACCCAAGTTTCGGTCTTCAATGGTTCAATTCCACCATGAAACACTGATAGCTTCATCTTCTTAAATTCTCTAGTCAAAGTAGTAGTGCAAGTCTCCGGCTGACACCCTGGAGCTGGAGGTGGGGGTAGTGGTTGTTGTTGTTGTTGCCACTGCTGTTGTTGCCTTATGGCTTCAGCCATGTCTTGCATTATTTGCTCTATTCTATCCAATCTTGAGAAGGTTACCTCCTCTAGCTTATCCCCCCCCTTGTCCTTACCATTTTCTATATAAAACTTGTATTATGATAAACACAACAAATAAAATATGTCCAGATGTACATATTCGAAACATATAATCATACAATTTATCTCACTCTAATATTTAATTACACATGAATGAAATCCTGAAGTCTCTTCTAGACTTTCTATAGCTCAATGGACAAGTGAGTGAGATATAACTCGTGCTCTGATACCATTCTGTCAAGACCCAAACCCGTCCCTATGGGTTTAGCGTCATGACCAGCCAATAATCATAGATTACTTACGACCTCCATCGGAACAAATCAAATTGATATAAATTATGTGGCTTAGCAGAATCAAATTAAATATAGAAGAAGTCCATCGAGCTGTGCATAAATGAAGAGTTCACATTAACACTATACATCAATTCCAAAGAGAAGTGCATATATTTATATACATAAATATTCAAAAGAAGAAGTTCAGCCACAATCCAAACTTATCAACATGTACAAATTAAAACCCCTATTACCAAAATTTAACCAAGGTTCAAAATAAAAAGGGGTTTAGACTTCGCTTGACTCTTTGCGAGACCAAGTTGGCCCATTCACGGGAGCTCCACAAAAGGCTGACTACGGGGTGACTCCGAGGCGATCTCTATCCTTGATGTTCAACTTGCTCACCTACATATATATACATAAATAGTGAGCTAGTGCCCAATGAGCAATAGCAGAATAAAGAGGTTATACGAATGAAGTTCCACCCTAGTACAAATACCAATTAAATTAGCCATCATGTGAATCCTTTGCGATGAACAAAACCATTGATCAATAGCATATTCTATACAACTCCGATTTCAATTCAATTCTCAATGTTCCGTGTTATCCCAATAACAATTCTCATTCAATGACAAATTACGTGGTACATCCAATAGAGTAACAATGTATCAATAGCAATGGGACCTCAAGGGTCAATTAATATATCATATTCAATTATCCAATGGGCCACGGTTTTGTTTCCATCGGGCGAGGGCCAATGGACCATTGTATTATATCCCCAAGGCAAGTGCCTACTGAACAATGAGCCATGGTATTAACTTCTCCCAAGCAAGGGCCTATTTAGCAATGGGCCATGGTATTAATTTCCCCCAGGCAAGAGCCTATTTAACAGTGGGCCATGGTATTAATTTCCCCCAAGCAAGGGCCTCACTAAAGGATGCCACGAGTTTACTTTCAAAAATGAACCTCATTCATTAGCAACAAATAGTACTTCAGTAAACCAATCAATCAATCATATATCGATTTCGATTACAATAACATTTTTGAAAATAAATATTACTTGAACATATCTTTATAAAGTTATTACTCACAGTAGTTTATGTTGTCACTAAGCCTCAGGTGTCCATCTAAACAAACACATAACAGAAATACAATTGAGGCACCAACTCATTTTAATTCAATTCTCTTTATGTGTTACTAGCTTATTCCATGATTATATAAGTCCAAATGGTGCCTAAGAACACTAGGAGTGGCATAAGGATGTAAATATGCACTTAAAAGAGTTGGTAAAATTTTGCTGAAAACAAGGTCTTCGATCGAGCGGTCTGCAAAAGTACTGGTTGCATGAAATTCCCGCTTGACGGTCGCTTGAGCGGAAGACTGAGAAAAAGGGTCCTCGCTCGAGCACCACTTTGGTCGCTCGAGCGGCTTGTAAAATTTTATAAAACTTCTGGAAGCTCGATTTTCATGCTCAAGCTCGATTTTTCTCGCTCGAGCGAACAATACGAATTCTGGAATTTTCAGAACTGTGTTTGAGTTTCAGGTTGATATTCAAAGCCTCAAAACTTGTGTTTTTTGTACAAAAACTTGGAAAATCATTACATAACATGAATATACTTCCAATTTAAAACCATTTGCTCAAAATCATGCTTCAATTGTCCAAGTTCAAGCTTAAATTTCCAAGTTGAAACCATGCATGTTATGGATTAAGCCTCGTTTATGTTAAAACACCACTAAGTGATATGAAATGCATGAATTCATGGATGATCTTCAAGCTCATGCCTCCTAAGCTTCATGTATGTATGAATTTCAAGAAATCTTAGCTCAAAATGAAAGATCAAGCATGCATGTGCAGAATTCAACTCAAATTCATCACATCCATGGTAATTCATGCTCAACTTATTCAAATTCAAACAAATGATCCCATAACTCTATGAACTTAGTTTCTAAATGACTTGATTCCAAGAATTTGGCTTGAGTTTCATACCTAATGTGTGAATTCAAGTGTTGGACTAGCTCAATTCACCAAAACTCTAGCAATTCACTTCAATCTCCTCTTTCTCTCTCTAAATGTTGAACTCTCCCTCATTCTCTCTCAATTCTCAGCCAAGTGTGTATATATGAGCTCATAAGCTTATTTAGAGCTATTTATATGGTGTGATTAAGTTAGCCTAATCACATGATGTGATTAAGGTAAACTAATTAGGCTTAATTCTAAATAATTCAATCAGTTTATTCTAATTATATTGATCCAAATCAATTTTCAATTAAAGTTACAATAAAATTCTAAATATTCTAATTAGCCTATTGGGCTAGTCAATTTCAGTTTCTGAAGTCATCTAAGCTCTCAATTTCTGTATCTAAGTTGTCAATTCGAACAGATATTCTATGTAATCACAGATAATCGCAAAATTAAGCATGTAATCGCATAAATAACACATAATCATGCAATTAGACTTTGTAAACTATCATTATACACTAGTTTGGAGGTTGGGGTCTGTTAGGGAAAATATGATTTCCCACAAATAAATCAATTAATGAGAATAAAAACTAATGCGGAAAAATTAAATCAAAAGTAACACAAGAATTTTGCGTGGTTCTCTCAATGTGAGGTACGTCCACGGGATCGAAATCTGATTCCACTATCAACCAAATAAGTTTCCAAACGATTACAAACGAGACACGAATGGTCTCACAAAATCACCTTTAGGTGAATTCCAAATAATCACAAATAAATAAGAGAAAAGACTTCACAAAATAGATGAATCAAAATCTTCAAAACCAAAGTTGAAGAAGACCTAAAAAAATAACCCAAATAAGCCAAATTCAAACCAGCCACGAACGGAGTAATTTTCAAAGCTTGAACAAATCACTCCACCAAACTTAAATACCACCAAGTTGATTGATCAACTCAAGCATTATCTCACTGACCAAAAATTATTCGGTTGCCGCTAGATATGCCGAGAAAAGACAAAACAATATTTATATATGGTTAATTCTAGAGTTTGTTTTATCAAAACCCTAGCTGTAATCAAATTAGATTGGGTCTCCACAAATTAGATATAATATATAAAAATATATTATACTTAAACCAAACCAAATGAAAATTCTTTAAGAAACTAATTGGGTTCCAAACTCTACTAAGGATATATACCCAACACGGTCATCACAGTTCTTGTAGAAGGATGATTGCATGGTGCTTAATGAGTAAAGTTTGGGACCAAATTGAAAAATCAGAGAACTCTAGAAGTTGGCATTGAATTTCTAGTTGAGCTTTTAATCCCAAGTAACTCAATATGCTCCACATATAGTATTCTACTTACAGTCAACAAACATGGCCTTATTGAAACTTCTGCTACGCGGCAATATTCTGTTGCCTTTCTTGATTCAGTGCCTTCATTCACTATAATAATGCAAACCTGTAATACAAAAAATTGTGTTCCTAATGATGAAAATGGAAGAGTGTGAAAAAATAATAATAATAATAATGATAATGAATGAGCTTGAAAATATTCTTGAAAAACAAAAAATGTAACTTGCAATATTCATATCCTTGGATATCAACTGTGCAACTATAAAACAAAAGAAGTTCTATTTTACTAAACATTCTCCATATCTGGGCAGATTTAGATCCTAAACTGACTTCAGAGATAGCTTTGTTGTTCTACTAAAAATCTTTTGGAAAGACTGTCTACTGTTGGGATTGAAAGAGTTCTGAATTGCTAACATTTACTATTTCATCACAGATCATATAAAAGCAGTCCAAGTAAGATTGTAAAACATCCAATCTACCTCACAGATGTCACTTGAGATCATGAAAAATTAGATATTGCATGGATGAGGAAAGCAAGTAAGATTAATACTGTGTTTGGTTGGAGGATTTGGAGAAGGATTTGGAAAGAGAAATAGAAAAGGTAGGTGAAATGTGAATAAAATATATCTATATTTCACCTAGTTTCACACACCTTTTCCCTTTCCCTTTCCAAATCCCTCCTCAAATCCCCCAACCAAACACAACATAAAAGATTCGAAATTCACCTCTCACCAGAATAAAAATCTTCGGAAAGATTACTTGAGTAACAATGGCTTCTCTAATCTCATACCCCATTCTCGTCTGATTGAATAAAGTGTTCTGCACTCTTCTTGGCTGCTCCAAAGATGAACGTCAGGGCTGCATGCTCACTATGTTTAATGTCATTAGCAATACAAAAGGGTAAATTGTAAAAGAAAAGAAAAAAATTGTAACCCATTTGATTTGGCACAAAACAGAGATGTAAGTAAGAAACTTTAAAAGAACACTTTGGAATTGAACTTATCTAAAGTTAAGCTGTGTTGCATCCACAAAAGACTAAACACAACTTGATGCATTTGCAAAATTACAAACATAACTAATTCATTTTTTATTTTTATTATTATTTTTTGTGTAATTCAATTTTTATTAAAAAACAAAGAAAACTAATTCAAATTATATTCAAACTCACTCCAATCAACCAACAAAACCAAATCAAGAAATTTTAAATATCTTGTGAAAATTACTATAATCCTCTGTTTTACTGAATGCTCACCTGAACAAAGGCAGACACTTGTATTAAGATCAACTGAACTAATGTCTTTTCTTTTTTTTTTCTTTTTTTTTTTTTTATAAAATTTTGTCTTGTCTCTACATATGCGAAACCATCTACTTCTCAAAAAGGTATAAAGAGAGGTGCCCCTCTTAATGTCCAACAGTTTCCCAACTGTCAAACAGAGTGTTGTTTTGAAAAATATGTTAAAAATTATTATTTTTTGACTTTTAATGATGTAAAACCCTAATCCTTCGCCGATTTGGAAACGGTGATTGAGACCTCCATCAATTCACTTTTTTTTTTTTTTTTTCTTTTTTTTTTTTTTTTTTCTTTTTTTTTTTTGTACTTACGAATAAAATAAATAAATTGATATATTTTTCAAAAATATTCACTGTCTTCAATATTTCAAGTTGTTTATTCAGAAGAAATATATATAAAAAAATCTACGTATAAGCTTATTTTTTTATGAAAAATGCTTGGAAACACTAAAAAAAGAGAATTAGGAGAGCACTAATGACGTGGTAATAGACCCCGCCCACTTTTTATGTTTTTTTTTTCATTTTTAATACATTAGTACTATTAATGATGTATTTTTTAGTGATCTGAATCATTGTTTTTTTTTATTATATTTGCTTACGTCCCGACACAATTAATAAATCTTCCAAGTATTTATTATAATGAAGATGTTATTATATATCTTCGGTTGGCAATTGAGTAAGAAATGAAATTATGTATAATAATTGAGACATTCTATGCTCGTAATTATGATTTTTATGATATTTAGTTATGAATTTTGAAATATTAGTTATGATTTATGATTTAAGATCTCTAGTTTTGTACTTTATGTGATATTTAGTCATTATTTTTTTTTTCTCATTGTTGACTCTATAGAATTGAATTATGACATTTGTGATAATCAATATTACAAATATAATAACTTGCATATGGTATGACACCGGTGTGTATCATAACATTATTCATAGGGGCATTTTTTCATAAATTCTTTTTCACTTACTTAGAGCAATTTCAGTCACACTTTTTACTTTTCACTAGTTAAAGTATAAAAAAAGTACACTCTTTATTTTACTTAATTACTTTAGTTATTGTGTTCTCCAATCACACTCTTTATTTTAGCTAATTATTTAAACTAACTTAATTAATTTTTAAAATAAAAAAATACTAATGGTTGATATTTTACTAATATAAATTTGCAATAATAATACATTTGCCCATACAAACATACAAAACCTGTAGAATGAGGAGAAAAAAATACAAAATACAAAATACAAAATACAAACTAAGTTATTCCGTAATTCATCAAACAGAATTGAAAGAACATATCAAATTGCTACATACACACACACACACATATATATAATATATAAAATCCCAAAATCCCAAATCCAAGATATAAATATACAAAAATCTAAAATATATACATACATAATTGTTTAGAAAGCCTCTAGGGCTCTTCAATTGTAACCACAAAAAAAATAGGATGGTAAAATAACTAGCCCAATAGCTAGCTTATTGGAGCTCAAAATTAGACTTACATTGGCTAAAATGCCTAACAAGCCTTGTTTAACTATCCCCTTGGAGATGCTCTTCGGTTCAATTTATTCCACATTATTTTTTTAGGTTCTAATGAGTATTACGGGTGACATAGTTGTCAAAATACCCTTAATAATATTCACATTTATAGTGTAAATGTTCCGTGATGTGAATGTTCACATCATTAATATGAATATTTATATTGTCAAATAGGAATGTTCACATCACTAAATTGTTAACCGTTTAAAAAATATTTGTAAGAGTAAAAATGTCTAAAAAATACCTTAAATATAATAATTAGAATTTGGTAGATCAAATATCTAAATAATAGAATTTATTAGAATATAAGAATATTTTATGAACTAATTGAGATACAAATATTTGAAAAATGGTTTTCTAATAAATTTCTCTTATCCATGTGATTATTATTATTATTATTATTATTATTATTATTTTATTTTGTAATTTTATTTACTTTGGGCTATATTTTTTTTATCCATGTGATTATTATTATTATTATTATTATTATTATTATTATTTTATTTTGTAATTTTATTTACTTTGGGCTATGAGTTGTTTATGGTTAGAAGGCCTCCTTCAATTTGAAATCTATGAAGAATAGATGGGCTGCCTAAATATACCAATTTATAGATCAGTGATGTTAGGGATTAGAAAACTTTCTCAAAAAAATATTCAAAAATGCATTGAAAATTCATTTCAAGCGTCGGTTCATTATATAAGAAATAAATGTAAACTATTCAATCAGTTTTTATATATTAAGACCTTTTGTATTGTGGACCAACACAATTTGAATTCTGGGTGATTTTTTGAAGTTTTTTTTTTTTTTTTGGGGGGGGGGGAAATGTTAGTTGATAGTTGTTACTTCTTTTCAATAAATTTGTTTGATTTTTATAATAAATTTATATACATATAATTAAATTATTAAAAAAAATCAATCAGTATGTTTGGTTTTAGTTTTTTGAATTTAATTTTTTTAAAAATGAGTTTTTTGTTTTTCGTATTTTTTTTGTTTTTAGTGAATATTTTTTAAATTTTAAGTAATTTTTTTTACTTTTTTAGATGTACTTTACTTAGATATATCTAAATATCTTACTTAGATGTATCTAAATAGTAAAATATTTGTGAAAAAATATTTTAAAAAATTAATAAATACACAAAAATATAAAAAATGTAATGAATTTTCGTTTTTTTTTGTTTTTTTTGGTATTTAGTGTATTTTTTTAAATTTTTTTTTACAAATATTATACTTTTTTAAGTGTATTTATGTTAAGTGTGTTTAAAAATTAAAAATAATACTTAAAATATTAAAAAAATTCATTAAAAATATTAAAATACAAAAAATAAAAAATAGATTTTTTTGAAAATTGTTTTCTGAAAACTGGAACCAAACAAGCTGAATAATTTCACAGGCAGAGAATCAATCATTAAAGTAGCAAAATATACCTACCAAATTCTAGGAGGATTTGGGGTGATTGTTGTGCTGAGGGCATAATAGTCATTGTTGTGCAGTCAAATGGGTTCATTTCAAGGTTCATTTTGATAATTCAAATCATTCACATTTTAGAGTATATCGAACAGAACATACCTGTAAAAAATTAAATTATCAGATATCGTTAATCCTTTCATCTACTCATATTTATATTTATAAAAATAAATAATTATTATGATTTAAAGTATTTAAATGAATAACCATCACAGATTATTTCACTAAATTACTTAGTTATGTGCTTGTAGACTTTTGCACAAAATTATTTAAAGTGTATACCCATCTCAAGTGAAAATAATAGCAAATAATGACATGTCTAATGGGTTCATCATAGTGACATGCAAATTCTTAATATTTTTTTGATAATTTAATTGTGCATTTAAACTTATTTTTATATAACAAAATAACATGTATGTATATTTTTAATATTTTTTTGATAATTTAATTGCATATGTAAATTTATTTTTATATAACAAAAGGACAAAAAAAAAGATATATACTTTTGGTTGTTTTGGGCCTTTGACTAATAGTTAAATTTTGATTTTTAACTTATTTTGGATCAAATCATCTTTTTACATGTTTTTTTCAAAAACAAAAAAATCAAAAAAATAACTTTTAACCAATTTCCTAAAATAAACTTTTTTTGTGTGGGGTTTATGAAATCAAGCCTAAAATCATAAGTTTCATAACTTTTCCTTTCATATTAATATTTAAAAAGAATAATGCCATGTCATGCTTTCATGCACCCTCCGTTTGAAAGTTTCATTGCATGTGTTCAAGCCTCCTTCGTATTCTTTGGTTTGAAATGTATTAAATAAGTGTATTTTTTGACTTTTTATAAAAAGATATGTAAAAAAGTAGAGAAGAGATGTTGATTGATGTGACCCACAAAAGATAAAAAGATGAACTAAAATAGGTTATGCCAACATCTTTTTCTTCTCCTCCCACAAGGTGCACGTGACCTTACTTAATCTTCTTCTAAAATCAATTATACTTTTTTTCAAATAAATAAATACAAATTAGATCAATTTTCCTTTCACTAAATGACTACGGCAAAGGATCCTCTGTCCCCAAATAACTCTGTCTCCCTATTTCAAATCACTCACAACTATTGGATGTCTTGAGATTTTCACATTTTAAGATTCTCATATGATTTAATGATTGTGAGTGATTTGGGACAGAGGGATATGATTATTTAGGGACAGAGAATCCTTGCTGAATGATTACAATCTTGCCAAAAAAGTTACTACAATCTTGGATTGCTTAAATTTCTGTCTACTTTCCTTTCTTCTCCTTTTCGTGGTCTCTGCTTCAACTTGAATCAACTACAAAAGCTTTTGATCTCTCTCTCTCTCATATGCATAACATGACATGCATGTTATACTCTAAAACTTCCTTATGCCTTAAAAAACGCAGTCACTTTAGAAAGTTGACTAGAAATTTTTAATCTATTTGTAGTATTAGAGTGTGGTGCTTTCCACAAACTATATATGTTCTCTTTTCTTCTTATTTGGGTTTAAAAGATTTAGAGCCAGCTACAATATGGAATTGGTATAATCTCTGATACATGGTAACTTCAACAAATGAAAAGAAAGTACTATTAGAGTAGTAAAAAGTTCACATTGTTATACATTGTATGTTGTACCAAATTTAGCATAAGATTTAATGAATTATACCTTCACAAACTTTTTTTCTCCCAAAATTACTTATTTTGATATTAAGAAAGTAAATAATAAAAATATATAATTTGTTTGTGTAGCATTTTTTTTTTAATTATTTTTAATGTAAATAAATTACACTTTTACCCATAAATTTTAGTCCATAAACTATTACTTGTTTCTCAGTTTGATCCAATTTACAATGATTGTCAAGATTATTTGACACAAAATCCCACATTGCACAAGACAATCCAAAACCTACTCAAACTCGATCCATGCCCAAGTAATATACATTGGGTTTCAACTATAGGGATCTGGGTAGGGAAGGAAGATGTAGAGGTTAGAGGTAGAGGAGTTTGGTCATAGAGGAATGAGGAGGGAGAAGATAGGCAACATATAAATGAAGGAAATGGGGAGATTGATGAGGGATGGGGCAAACCGGTTGGGTTGTGGGTTTTGGCTTTGTGAGTCGGGTTTGGGTTGGATTGGATTTAGTTAGCTTTGGGTTTTGATTTCTTAGTTTTTAAATATCAAAATTATTGTAACAGAAGTTGACAATTGAATTTGGATTAAAGTGTAACACGAGATTAATATAATTAAAAAATGAAAGTGAGACAGAAAATCTTTTGTTTAGGGACCCAAAATGATATAAAATAAAATAAAAAAAACCCTATTCTTTAGAGGTGAAACTGTAATTTACCTTAAAATTAATATTACAATATTGAAAAATAGAAGGGAAAAAAAAAAGCAAAAGGAGACGAAAGTGACCAGAATGGGCGCTGGACACAATTTCCCATGCATCTTCAACCTTGTTATCTCCGCCACTACAAGTTCTCTCTCTCTCCCTTAATATATGCGTAATGCGTGTGTATATAGAAAGAGGGAGAGAGAAGCAAGAGCAGTTTGAAGGTCCTTTTTGGATGAGAAGCAACACAAAAGCTGTGATATATAACACATACATAGTATATAACAAAAGAGAGAGAAAGAGCACCATTTCTTTCTTTCTTGTGACCCATTTCGACTTGCCTACTAGAGAGAGAGAGAGAGAGATGAAGGGGGGAACAATGAAGGGACACAGTAGCAGTAGTAGTGGGAACAGAGGGAGGCAATACATGTTGATACTGCTTTTGGCATTTGGGGCTGCAATATTTGGAGTGATGCTTCTTCACAAGCTTCGTGAGAGGCGTATTTTCAGCCTCCTCCTCAAACAGCAAGACCGTGACCTCTACTCTCTTCACCTCCTCTTGCAGGTCCTCTCTCTCTCTCTCTCTCTCTCTCTCTCTCTCATGGTTGTATTGCATTATATGTATTTTATAATCAGGGCTATTTTCTTAGTTTTAACACTTCCGGGGAAACTACCTATCTATATATTCTGAGTTCAGACTAATCTACTTTGCATACTCCAATGCAAGATTACAATCATATCAATAGTTGTAATTTTATTTTTTTTTTTTTTAAAAAATTTAAACTAATAATGAGACGAAATAGCTTTCACTGCAACTACCATGCTTGTCCTCATGGGATGTTTGTAACTTACAATTACAGTAATGCAAATGAATCACAAAAGATGCTGCTTTTATAGGGTTCGAGCCATAAACTCGGATGTCTCAAGTTTTGCCTTCTTTAAAAATTTGTGTAAAATTTTTTATTTTTCCAAGTGGTCTAGTCTAAAAGGATCTAAGGATCTAAAGAAATGAAATAAAATAAGAAATTGAACCTTTTCTTTTCTTTTCTTTTTTAATATTTTGGATACAGACTAAATTTTTTAAATCCCTATCATAAACTGGATTTTGGGTGATGCAATTTTCAACTACCAAGTTCTACGGAAACTTGTTCAACTGCTAGATCATTTGCTCTTTTTGTATTTCTGTTTGATGTGCTGAAAATGCAAGTGCAAATTTTAAAATCAATAACACATTACAACAGATAAATTCCTCATTATAGGTTTGAATAAATAAAAAAAGTTCACAATGTGATTCCAATTGATAACTTCAAAAAATTTAACTCCCTTACAAGCACAAATCCAATTTTCTCATTGAAAGTGTTTGGTTGCCTAGAAAATCCATATTATCCAAAACAAAAGAAAATAAGTAAGACCTCTACTTCACATGTTATAATATAATTCACATCAAAATGGAAATGATTACCATCTACATTCACTTACCCGGTCCCAAACCAATTATATATTTCAATAAACAGCATTCAAGTTGTATATTCCGAAACCAAGTCCTGTGATTTGTAATCTCTACAAGTTAGAAAAAACATGTTAATATAATCTTCATCTTTTTTTCTGGTGCAGAAGGAAAGAGACTATAACATTGAAGCAAAAAAGAAAACTGAAGAGATGAAAGCACAGATATACTCGCTCGACAGTAGGATACTTGAGATGCAGTCTACAATTTCTTCCCTAAAAGACGAACAAAGAAACATGGAGTCATCACTCGAAGAGAAGCAGAACGAGATCAAGTTGCTGCAAGAAAAAGAGATAGAAACAGGCAAAGAAGATCCTCAAGTAATAGCTCTAACAGAAACGTTGAAGCAGAAGGAAGCTGAAATTGAGGGTTTAAAGCACCGTCTTGAATATCCTATCAAAGTCTGGTCAGTCAGTACAGATGACCCATCGAATCCTGCTGTAAATTTAACAGAAACAGCAAGTATGACGTGGAGGGGCAAAAATGAAGAAGGTGGGATGAAAGAAGTAAGTGGGGGTTTCCATGAATCAACCAGATATAGAGCTTTTGAAAATTCCAATAGAGGTGTTGATGAAAGCCTAAATGAATACACCGTTTATAGAGATGGTGATGGTTCAACAAGACACGAAGATAGAAGAGAAGATAGTGTGGGATTCGCTGATACAGGGGAGACAACTGGTGAACATTCACAGAAGTTGGAGAATTCTGAAAAGAGTGCCAATGAGGATTCTCGAGATGGTCTTGGCATTAAAGAAGAAACAAAAAATGCTAATGTAACCGAGGCAATTGTTAGCCATGGTGATGTGTTGAAAACTAAAAGTGAAGATGGTGATACTGAAGTGATGGATGGTAAAGAACATGGACTAGCTCAGATTGAGGAGAGGGAAAACCTTGATTCACAAGGTGGTGAAAATCAGCAACTCGGGATGAATTCTAGAGGTGGAATAAAGATGGAAATGCCAGATGACTTGCAGGCTGGTGCAGGTTATAGAGCGAGGGGAAAACATGGTTATGCGAGTAAGCCGAAGGAGAAGAGATGGAGAATACTTGCTAGAAAAAGGAGGAATGAGATAGAGAGAGGAAGATGTAAGCAAGCGAAGTAGGCGGTTTCATAAAGATGCATTGCAAAACGAAAGATACAAGACACTTAGAGATAATGAACTGCAGAAATTGGACAGACACCGAGGTAATCATAGCTGGAAGAATGTCGGAATTAATTCCCTGAAACCTCAGAATTCCGAAGACTGCAGAAATTGGACAGACACCGAGGTAATCATAGCTGGAAGAATGTCGGAATTAATTCCCTGAAACCTCAGAATTCCGAAGATGTGGAAAATGAGAGTGGCAATGGCCGGAATACTGACACAAATCAACAAATTGAGAATGAGCAGGAGATGGTTGTTCCAGATGACGTGCGAACAAACAGAACTGTTGACAGTGAGGCTAATGAAAATCAACAAATTGAGAAAGCGCAGGAGGTGGTTGTTCCAGATGACATGCGAACGAACAAAACTGTTGACAGTGAGGCCAATGAGAAGAAATCAGATGAACTCGGGCAATCGGAGGAACATACTGGTGGTGTCAAACAAGTAGAGACAAGGGATGGTGATAGAGTAGATCAAAATTCTGAAAAAGTGAAAGTTGCAGAAACTCAAGAAGCAGAGACAGATTTGAGGAAATCCAGACCCAAGTTGGAAGAAGATAGAGAGGAAAGTGGGGGAGAAACAGATGAGACTGAGTTTTAGCTAACATAAAGAAATCTTAGAAGTGCTTTGCCTAGTGTAAGAGTTGTAAGAAAACCTGCATGTTTGTTACTAGAGCAGTTTACAAGTTTATTTTGCTCATCATGTTCAAAACAATTCTCTATCGCTCTCTCTCTCAAAAAATGAAAAGCAAATACCTTGTTCTATTAACTAAATAGTATCATGTCTGATTGAAGAAATAAAAATTCATGTCCACCTATGCATTTTAGAAATACACAAAGCAGCAAATTAAGCTAATACTCCAGAAAACAACATTAACTGCCTTTCAATATTCTGTGGAGTACAGTTAGGAAATTCGAGGGCAGCTCATTATTAAAACATGTAATGTAAGGTACACATCAGATTATCAATATGCTCTATAGAAAGTAGAAAAGAGCTGTTTTTACTCACAAGCCACAGCAATGTAACTGATGTCCGAAAATCCATACCCATCATATCCAGAAGTCATTGACATAAATTGGCCAAAAAGAAAAAACTATCTTCAAACGAAGATGTCTGATCAAAGGAGATTGGAAAACCAAGCAAACACATTATTGAGAGAAAGCTTCTGTGACAGTGACTTTAAAATCCCAATACTAATGTGATGCTTCCACCAATTTCTGCAAATAGATGAGAATGAGTCAGTAGAAGCTAAACATTATGATGATTGCAGTATGTTTTTCCTACAAGGTAATTGGACATTAGCCATGAAAGTGGGTGAACAAATAGGTTGCTAAACTTAATAGGACAACCCCAAAACATCTAGCTGGCTCATTTTTTACCACTTATCACCAGATAAAATTATTCATCAATTTTGTCAGCTCTCTGTTAGATGATCAAGCGTCCAGAGGGTCCAATCCAATCAAACCATAATGAGATTGCTATAATTGAACCCCAAAGTGAAGCATAAATGCCAAAGCAAGCATTACCAAGTCACAAGCACATTATTACAGATACAGAGGGAAGACTGTGACTAAAGACCATGACTACATTTCCCCTGATCAAGAGAGATATTTTGTTCGAAAAACCATTATAATCAATAATTACAAAGCATCCAATTAGACGCTTCCCCAATATTTAAGAAAGAAAAATTCCAACAATTGAAAAGCTAGGTAAAATCAGTGTCATGTATACATTCACAACAGTCTAGTTGCAAGAAACTGCACCAAAAAAAGGTGCGAGTACATGTTTGTGTAATCTGTACGGATGGCCAGGTATCATCCCAACTAAACAAATCATGCAATTAACTGCATTTAGTTCTAAATGGGAGATTTAGCCAAGTAGAATGGTGCTATAGCAATCAGGCTGTAGACCAGCAGCTTGTGTTGTCTAAAGCACTTTAGCTGAACACGTGGCAGATTTACAGTTGTGTTGATCTAACCTATGAAATTTATAAACTACAAGCCATTTGAATGGGTATTTTGGAACAACCGGATACTTACACTTAATAAAGAATCATTACAACAGTCTAATTCATATGAGCATCACCTTGTAAAACGTTTTTTTAGGAGAGAATCATTAATGGTGGTTTTCTAACAACCCTTTGCAATAACCACCAAGTGAAATATGAAACTTGCTAGAAAAAATAAGGTAAACCAAGTGGCCTCTTTACGATATGGTGCACATGCATCCTAAATAAAATGAGTCATTCCAACTTCTGATTTGGTATGCCATGAGCTGAATGCAAAATCAGGTTATTTTTCCACAGTTCTTAATCATATTTTTTATTCAAAGAAGTGTTGAAGCTTCAATGTGGAAACCCCACTGATGGATTAACCTCACTTATACGACTGATAAATATCCGTTGTTTATGTGGAATAGTATGGAAGGAGAAAAGAGGTACAGAGTGGAGACCCCACTAGACTACATAATTTCTGTGAAAAAATGGACTAGTGCCACAGTCCCAGATTCCTGTGTGGACAATTTTGAGAGTTCGTTTGTAGCAAGTTGTGGTTGTGTTCATAATACAGACAAACAAGAAAAAAAATTAACTTATCTTCTATACTGTAAAGAATTTTGGAATAATTTTGATAAACTTTCTTGATTCACATTGGCATATAGTCCTAGTTTCTCTTAAAGTGGATGCTTTGTCTACCTTAAAAGAAAAGACACGAAGAAAATCAATTAATCAATCTCTACAATAACAAATTAATATAGGTCTTCTAGTTATGTTTCCAAGAATTACAGGAGCCTATACTTTCCAGATATTTTAACATACCTATTGCATTTCTAAAATGTTCATGCTGAGCTGAGGGAAACAGCACATCACAACAAATGCTAATTCTTTTCTTCACACAGAAAATTGGAAAATCCTGCGAGTCTCTATGTAATTCATGACCTATTGACTTCCACTTGAGTAAAAGCATTTCTAAATGGCTTGCCACAAATTCAAGAAAACATCCGTCATCAATTTTATTAAGTAGAGTCATTGAGCATTACTATACACAACAGGGGTTTTAATGAAGGTTGACAGAGGGAACATTGAAGAACAACGCAAAAAATCCCTCATCCTTAACAATATGACGTTTACACACATGATCCCTGAATTAGTTTTTTTTTCTTCTCTGTTTCTTAAAAAAAAGAAAAAAAGAAAAGAAAAGCATATGACTCATGATTTCAAGAATGCAAAAAAAAATACCTCTTCCTCGTCTTTCTTGCCCCCGGAGAACAACTTATATCCCCCAAAGAAAAGCAAACCCCAGCCAGATAAAGAGACAATCACAAACTGCAAAAGGTGAGCTCAATCATGAACAAAGTTTCAGAAATGTGTTGCCATTAACATCAGGAAACCACAAAAAACATCATGTCCATGATGCTTAAAAGATAAGAAACTTAAATAACCAACCAACAAGCTTGGTGAACAAAGAATGTAGGAGAAGTAACAGGTGACAATACTTTCATAGTCATTCATATTACTCACAGCAGTACAAATTGGAGGCAAAGCTCATAGTTTAAAAAAAGATTAGAAATTAAAAACCTTCAGCAAAAACATTTAGCTACTGAAGGATCATATTACCAAATATTTAATGGTATGGTAGCATGTTCAAATGCACCAAAACAAAGTCCACACCAAACCTAATTTGTGATTCTCCAAAGAGGAAATCTAACAACTTTAAATTATCAGCTCAACTTAAGAAGCCTTTCATCCGCAAACCGAAATACACTTAGTCACACAAATCCTGTTCGCTGCATTAAAAGCTATATGTCACACACCGACTCTTTGGTAATGCGAGTTCTACACCAAGCACCTTGCAAGCGCATTAGTTTGTGAGCGACAAAGTAGGCAAGGTAGATCTATATCGCATCACCTAAGTTGGTCATTGGGCATAATGCACAGGGTACGCAGTACGACTCGTGGAGCTAGCTTATCAAGAGGATGACAAATACCCAGTCCGTAACATATATCTCTCATTAGTTGTAGAGCATTATGTCTTTCTCCATTTTTTAAAGAATATTTCATCAACTGTCAAAAAAATCTAACATATACAAGCTATGAAATTAAAGAAATTATATGCATAATTGCATTTGTGCTCTTCCTCATTGCCTCAACCCACATCCTCCCTATCCCCTCACATCATTAAAATATCTTCAAGGAAAACAAATCAGTCCTCTTATATGCCATCACTGACCTATATAGAATACAATCAAATCATCACAAGACATTGTCTCTTCTCGCTCTCAATGCCACGATGCCACCTCTATCACCTCACACGTGCACCTATGAAGCATGGGCATTTCAAAAAACATGCCATACCCATACTGGGTACTTACAAGCATATGGTACCTCAGATGGTACTTTTGCATACGTACAGGGTACACGAAACAAGTACCCAAGTTTTTTCTTCTTAATTTTTGGCGTACCCAAACGTATCTAGTATATACCCAAGTCGTACCGTATCTCGGTTGAAATAATATTTTATTCTACTACAGAGATAAACTTCTTTCACTAGACTTTTTTTTATTTTTTGTTTTATGCTCAGTATGATTTTAAAATTAAACTATGGTTTGTAAGTTATTTAATATATTGATATTTAATTTTAATTTATACCTTTACTTTTGGCATTAAATGTTAATTATAGGTTGGACCTTAACAAATTAAACTATTTAATTAATTTTTGCATTACTCTAAATTAAAAATAAATATTTTTTTACAAGCATACCAAGCCGTATCCATACCCGTATCCTATTTTTTTTGAATTTTTCCATATCGACGTACCCATATCATACCAGTGCTAGTACTCGTATCCGTACTTCATAAACGTGCACATATTTGACACTTCTTACATAGACATATTTTTAATTCTAGCCCAATATCTCACATCCATATTCATAATCAGGTCTTTCAGTGACCACCTACCATTCTGAACCATGTATCATGACTAGTCTTACGCTATTTTAATGATATTACTATTAATTTGATATATACTTGGTGATCCCACAGCACTCCAAAAGCATTTTTTACTCCATCGTGTTCTAAATATGTGCATATAATATTCCTTTCACTGCATAAGAGCATCTCCAATGCTTACTTCTTCTTTTTTCCCATCAAATTTGAATAAAAATTTGGGTTAAAAGCTTCATCTAGTACCAAGCGTTTCAACGCTAAATTTTCAATTTTCATAAACAACCGGTCAATCAGGAGGACAACCAGGCAGTTGACCAGCCAAGCGTAAATTTTCTTCAAATTTTTCCCAATTCAGTCGTCCACCCAGTTGACCGACTGATCATCTATGCGATTGTCCAGTCACTTGCGAGATTTGATGAAAGGTTAGACACTCCCTTGATTTGATGAAAAAAGTAGAACTCCCTTCATTTGATACCAATTTGGTGAAACTTTTTTTACCAAATTTTCATCAAATTTAAATTTAAAGAAAGATTTGAGCCTAGGTTGGAGATGGTCTAAGGATGGTGAATTCGATATTGAAGGCACCTGCTATCCATCAAGTTCGATCATACCTAAAATTCTATTCCAAGGGCACATACGCATGTAAAGATGAAATTTTTATGTATTCATTTGCAAATTGTGCTTTTCTAAAGCCATTAAATCTTGGATGAATGACATGAAGCAGAGAGATATGAATGATTTCTGCACAAGTACAATTAGCTCCACAACCTAGTATTTTAACAGGCTTAAAAAGGTTTTAAAAAGCGGTCGCAACCGTTACGTAACGTTGTTACGTAATGGTTGTGGTGGTTACCACCACATGTTACGGCCGCTTTTGCAATGTGATTGAGATTCACAGGTGTGTCGGTCGTAACGGTGCCGTAATAGTCGTAACGGTCTGTTACACACCATTACGTAACGGTTCCGAACTGCTTCTTTCGAATAAACACACAAAAAAAGAAGAAGCTGAAAGTGGGGGAAGATGGATAGAGAGAAGAGGGAAGATAAAAAAAAAAAAAGATGGAGGAGCAAGAGATAGAGAGAGAGAGAAGAGGGAAGATGAAGAATATGTTATTGATTTGTTGAAATTGTAAGACCTATGCTATTCTATTCAGCTGCTATCACTCAACCATTTTGTTTGTGTGTATTTATCTATATATTGTTTGAAAATAATAATAATAATAATAATAATAATAATAATAATAATAACTGGTTATTCATTATCTATTTGGCTTGGTTAAAATATGTATATATATATATATATATATTTAGGCTCTTATTTATTCTCTTACTTTTGTCATTGTTTATCTTATATATAATAGTTAATGATTGATTTTTTTGTATTATATAAAGTCATTAATTATTAAAATAAAATGTAAAAAACTCAATTTATAGTGATTTAAAAATATGAAATATATTGAATCATACTTAAAAATTTACAAAAATTGATCAATATTTATTTTAAACCCAATAAATATGATCATGGAAAAAAAATATGCGTATCTATAAATTTTTTTCAAATTGTGCGAAAAATAAAAAAATTCATAGTTCCGGTTACCGCAACCGTTACGCTACGGTCTTTACACACTGCAACTGCAACGGCGCCACCGCCACCATTACAGCGACCGCAACCACTTTTCAGAACCTTGGGCTTAATAAAGCAAAGAATGGAATCTCAAGTAAAACATTAGAACCATCAATCAGAGAGAATACCAAATTAGCATATATTAAAATCAGAGGATAGTCATTTGACATGAGATAATGTTCAGACAAAATCGACTCCAAAAGATGAGAATTTGTCGTTCAAAATGAATAAAATGAAAGTTTTAAATTTTAAACAGCAGTAAAGGCTTACATGCTCTTCCTTCCATTTAGATGGACTCATTGGATCTTGCCAGAAATTAACCCTTGGAGGTCCATGGTGATCTAAGATGAATCAATTAAACACATTAGCATTTTGACTTACCAAAACAAAACAAAAAGTTATGAAAATCCTATCTAAGATTAAGTAGATTAACAATATTATCAATTAATATCAATTGAAAAAATTTATTAGAAAAACTTAATTTTGCATTGAAAAAAATGAAACTTGAATATAAAAACTAAAAATATATATATTACAATTTTTTTTTAAAAAAAAAAATGTATTTTTTAAATATAAAAAAAGTAAAAATAGCCGAGGCAATCTTCAGTTTGACTTGTGCAATACAAAATGTATAAATGAATCATAATTTCCAGTCAAATAAACATATATGCATATATAAATACACATATACAAACATATATATATATATATATATTTATGTGTATGTAATTGTAGATAATCACAAGATCCAAATGTTGCATCAAGATTCAGAGAGGAAGGAGGGAGGAGATTTTTACCAGCGGCGCCAGCAAGGCCGCGGCGCTGGACAAGGGTCACGGCTTGAGCTGATGAAGTCGGAGAGGAGAGCCGAGAAACGATTGCGGCTTGACGAGCCGCCTTCGACGCCCAGGAGGAAGCCATAGCTCAGAGCTCGTCGATGGTCGTCTGGGGACTGAGATCGGAAACTCCACGAATTCGAGACGGAGAGGATGGAAATGGTTGGAGACGAGGGCATATGCGCATACCAAATTCACTTAAGAGTAAGGGACGGTGTCGTTTCGGGCCAAGGCACTTCTGTGACCTGTTTGGAGAACCTACAATTTACAAATTTTGCATCCCATACCATCTAAATAATAAATAAATAAAAAAACATAAAAAATTACAATTTTACCTTGTAATTAAATTGTAATTTTATCCGCATCACTAACTTTTCAAGTATTATGCTTTTGGTTCACCAGAATAAGTCAGAATTAGGGGTGAGCACCGCCAAACCGATTCGCATCCATCCGCCAAACCGCCAATCCGCTCAATCCACATCCGCCGGATTGGCGGACGGATGCGGATTGATTTTGTTCAATCCGCCAATCTGGCGGACGGATGGCGGATTGGAGGTTTCGTGGCCGCAACCGACCCGCGCCCACCCCTAGTCAGAATCAAGTAGAATGATTATTTCTTAGAGTCTCGTATAAAATGGCTATTCTTTTAAAATGATAAATAATAAAACATAAAATAATATATTTTATTTTTATTTTTTTAATCAATGAAACATAAAAATAAATATTTTCAAAGAATGATAATTTCATTTCCTTTCATTCAGCAAACCACACTACCTTAATTCTATTCTCACCTCCCACCACTACCAACTCTAGCCCTACTCGTCCCTCCCCAATTTCGGCCATCACTCCCAACTGCTACCCATCCCGACTATATATTTTTTAACAATTAACGGAGGTTATTTTACTCCATATCTTTTAATTCACACATTTTGACACTTTCAATAATAAAAGTCATATAAAATTTTCATTTAAAAAAAAAGTATAAGCCTGTGTTTGGCAAGTAGGTTTGCAGGTTTTTTTGACTATTTTAGCCACAAAAAACAAAATAGGCTATTTTAGCCATAACAAACAAAACATCACATCCAACCCATAATCATTACATTCTTCTCTCACAAAAAAATTCAAAAAAGCCAAAAAGCCAAAAAGCCCTTCCAAAACCAAGCTTTTAAGCCCAGGCTAAAATAGCCAAAAAAGCCAAAAAGCCAAAAAGCCAACCCACTTCCCAAACGGAGGCTAAGTAATATATTTTTATAGTTGAAAATATTACAAAAAAATAAATTTGTAGATGAAAGGGTTAATTAAACATTTATTTAACTTGAAAACAATAAAGATTAGGGTAATACTACGCATCATGAAATAAATATCATGAAAAACTTTATAAAACTAATCCAATGATGAATGCATAACATACAATAAAACACTACAAACACTATAATCTAATCCAATGATGGAGAATCTTCATGAAAACTTTTCATGACATTGTTTTCATGATACCTAGCATTATTGTAAAGATTAATAATAAATGGGAAGAATTCAATCATGAAGGTAGAGACTTTTGATTAACCCGTTGATCTAATATTGTTCACAACATGCAAAACGAAATTGATACAGGTAAAAGTGACATCTACATCCATAGATCAATGTCTTGATGAAACAAACAAACAAAAGCCCACAAAGATAGGAAAGAAGACAGACAACAACCTCTTTCAGTTTTTGAAACACCAGACAGGTCCTTTGCCACTGGCAACATTAACCTTGGATTTTGTATTTTTTTTTTGAAAAAAAAAAAGACAATTGTCTACAAAACATGAACCAAAACAGATGACAAAACTGGGAAAAGAATGAGGACGAGTACACAAGCTCCAAGAACAACTGCAATACAAGTCCATTTCCTGGAGCTCTTCTGATACTCCCTCGCTTCTTGCAACTGCTCAGTCCCTCTCCTAACGAACGAGCTCGCGTGCGCCACATGGCTTTCTATGTTGTTCAGCTGCTGGCCCTGTGCCTCCACCAACGCTGCCATGTCCAAGAACACTTGGTGGAGCTCGATCAAGTTCTTCTCTATCTCCTTCACCGCATCGTGCCTCTCTTGTATCTCAGAAATAGTGTCCATGATTTGACCTCGCCCCTGTTCTTGAATGGCCTTTTGAAGGAATGTCTCGCTTTCCCCACTCGATATCAAGTTCTCAATCAAATCATCGTTCGCCTTTTCCCCGGTTATCGTGAAGTACCTCCTCTCCACCGTCTCTTTGTACTCGGACGAAATTTTAGCCCTTAGGGCTTGGAATTCGTCCATCATAACTTTAAGTTTTTTTCCTAATCCACTAACTACCGAGGTTCGTGTCCGGTCAGCAGATGAACCAGGCCCGCACCCTGGAATGCCCCGGTGGGCTGCGTTGGACCGCTCAAGCGCTTCAAGCTTCCCCTTAATAACTTTGACCCTTTTCAAAACTTGTGTCACGTCCGCATCCATCCGGGACCGTACCTCTTTCATTGTTTTGGCATTGTGTGCCGTCTTACACTCTTCATTTGACTCCTGCAACCTCTTGTAAAGCCTCTCGACATCTTTCATGTCGTCCTTCACCTTCTCTACATCTTCGAAAAATCTGTCAAGATCAACGGTCTCATTCCCCGTCTCCCCACTACCACCAGCCTCGATGTCATCCAAGTGGATTTGGCGCTTGAGGTCTTGGTACTTTTTAAACGATCCCGAGAAGAGATCATTCATCTTGACAGAAAAAAGAAGAAAAAAAACACTGCCTTCTAAATTTAATTCACCACAAATGGATGGTTTTGTAGGGGAATGAGATGCAAAACTCTGTGGAGGAAAAGAGTGGCTTTGCTTTGCTCAAACCTTCCTTCTTCTCTTCTCCCTACAAGTGCAGTCTTTTCATGGTATGTTGGAGGAGGAAGAAGAAGAGAAGGTGAACAAAGCAAAGGCTTCATCAAGGAATGAAGTGGGTTTTCATGTTTTGGTGAGGTTTGGATGAGACTTATTAGAGGCTTGAAGAGATTATTTGATTGGGGCCAACCACACTAACCTGAGGCCTGTCGTTAAAAATGGAGAAAATGATGGCCACGTGTTCACTTTTTTTTGTTTATTTTTCATGGAAATGAGAACACCCTTTGAATTGAGATTGACTTGGTCATGCTTTTACCCTAATCATCAAAATTATCTTTCAAATTAAGGATATTCATGGCAATTTTAGTTGACACTAATTAATTAGCTAGCCTAAAAACTTGTTTAACCCAAAAAGATTAGAATTATTTTGATCAAAATGACCACACTATATTAGTATGATGAATCGCACATTAGTCTCATTGGTAATCAACTATTATGAATGTGATAATAAATAAAATGTGATAGAAAAATTTATTAAGTACGCCTATATCTATAACGTTATGTAAAAATAAATAGAATCAAGTGCATAACATAAATTATGAGAAAAATGATACCCAGACAATTTTTTAGTAAAATTATGAATTATTGAATGTGATAATTATACTAGATATCCAGCAATACTTGAAGGATACTGTGATACAAATATCGAATACTAGAGACTCAAAGTCCACCAGTGGGTTTACTCTTGGTGGAGCGGCTGTATCTTGGAAATCTTCCAAACAAACTTGCATTGCTAGGTCTACTATAGAATCAGAATTCATAACTTTAGACAAAGCTGGAGAAGAGGCAGAATGGCTTCGCCACTTCCTTGAAGATATTCCAATGTGGCCAAAACGGGTGCCTGCTATATGCATACATTGTGATAGTCAATCAGCAATTTGTGGAGCATAGAGTCATATGTATAAGGTAAGTCACGACACATTCGTCGTCGACATAACATCGTAAGACAACTACTCTCTAATGGAATTATTCACATTGAATATGTGAAGTCTAAAGATAACATAGCGAATCTAACCAAAGGGTTAGCAAGAGAGCTAGTTGAGAATTCATCGAGGGGAATGGGACTTAAGCTTATTAAATAAAAGTTGCCACAATGGCAACTCAACCTAGTTAACTGAAGATCCCAATATCTAGGTTCAAAGGGACAACTGAGTTGTGTATGACTCAGAAGGATCACTGGGAAGTCAAACTCCTACCCAATTCTATGATGAAATAATGATGTCTGCAGCGTTTTAGGTTAAATAATATTTTTAATGATTCTTATATCTAGGTAACCTAGTATAGTATGGCAGGATACTCTTCATAAGAATCACTTTTGTGAGTGTGAACTGGGCTAGTTCTATGAAATTTGTGAAGGGCTATAATTCTCTAGAGCACTCATGAAAGACCAGGTTGTTCAAGGCCAAAATGAACACGATAATGAGAACTAAACTGTGTCTGGTAATATGCTGTGTGAGTTCTATTGTCTTGGTGTACATAAACGGCTAAACAGTTCAAGACATCATGTTCATCGGTTAGCTAGTAAATCTAATAGTGTTTCACAAGAGAAGGTTCAAAGTCAAAAGTTACCTATCATTTACAGAATATTTCTAATTTCTATACTCTCTGTAATTAGATCATGTTGTTGCATTTTCTCTCTGTCAAATTCCATTCATGTGGGGGATTGTTGGAAAATTTGGTTTTATAAAGCTTATTTTGGGCCAACTTTGAGCCCCAAAATTGAGTGGGCCCCAAACGTCTTTTGGGGTGAGTCCGAAGAGGTGACGTGTTCCTTGTCGCATGGCAAGTCACACAATGAAGACGGTTTGTCAAAACCATTTATGAGTGAATAGGAACTTGACGTCGTGGAATTAGACATTTAAAGATTTAAATGTGGGTTTCTTTGAAATGGGTTGTCCCACATTGAAACCTTAAGAGAGTTTGTATATATATATAAACTCTAGGTAGCAACACTTGGGCCCCAATGGGTATCCCAAGTTTGTAGAAGGGAGGAGTTATGGACAAATGGAACATTGGCTCAAACCATTACACATGTGCGCACCGCTGCAGCCAGCCGGCCGGCCGAGCCGTGTTGAGCGCGGGTGTGAGTTGTGGGTCAGGTCGGTTCTAATATTAATTTTTTGGATAAAATTTATTTGAATTTTTTCCAGAAATTCTTAATGAAATTAAATTCCAATTTTATGCCAAAATTGAAATTAATTTTCTGTTCATATTTTACCAACTTCTGTCCGAATTTCCTAAACAGATTCAAACTGTTTTACAATTTTAAACTGCCAGAAACTACTGCAGTTACACTGATTCAAACTGCACAGTTCAAACAGATCAATCAGTGTAGCAGATCTATTGAATTTTGAACTGCATCTGTTCATTCAAAATTTGCACTTGTTCGGTTCAAAATTTAACCTGTTCGGGCATATTATATTGCCTATAAATACCAGCATTTCCAACAGTGTTTGGGGATAAAAAAAACATCCAGGAAAAATCTATTTCCATCCCGGTTTTGTTCTCTCTTTGCATTATTCTTCATATTAGAATTTAGGAAAAAATTAAAAGAGTATAGAAAACAAGGTTTTGTTCACCGTACAAGTTGTTTGAAGTGCTACTACAATTTGTGAAAATCATTGTATCCTAGGAGATAGACGTCATTTGTCTGTAAGCACCGTAGCGGGGTGAATCTGTCTTAAGGACAGAATGTTACACACTCGATTTGATCTTTTTATTATTCTTCGGTTTGGTAAAATAATTTCGGTATATTATTTATTTTATTTGTTTGACTTAGTTTCAATTTATTTATTATACACATAAAATTGTTCCAACAGGTATATATTATTCTAAGTTAAATTATCAAATAATGTGTTTTCAAAAATTTATTTTAAACATTTCAAAACGAATGGGAAATTCATGGAATTCCCAGTGGAGCACAGTTCTACTATATACCTTCATAGTTAATATGGAAGGGTAGGGCTAATATGGGGATAAAGATGGCATTTAAAAGCTTGGGGGTGATTCTATTTACACTACAAATTTAGCTGTAAGTTTAATTTTAATTTAGTCATTTTGTTTAATTTACAGTTTAAAATTAATAATTTTGAAATAATTGTCAGCTTCTTAATTTGTAAATGTTAAAAATTTAATGAAATTTAGACAAAATAATAATCAAATTAAAATTTGAGTTAAAGTGTATGGATTAAATTATTTAAATTAAAACATTAAAAACCAAATTAAGATTTGCATCAAACTATAAAAGTGTAATTTACCCTAAAAATATTATACAAACAAACATTTTTTGCAAATTGAGATGCAATGTAACATATAAATTTTAATTTTGAATTGAAACTTTATAAACTAACATGATATTATGACACATTAGTTTGTATAATATATATATATATATATATATAATTAAGGGCAAATTACAAAATATATATATATATATATATATTCCTAGGATTTTGCCTATTTTTAAATTTAAATTCCAAGGTTTTTTTTTTTTTTGATCGGCAAAGAAAAATTTCATTAACAGCATGAAATTAAAGGTACAGGAAGATTTTTTTTTTTTTTTTTTGATCGGCAAAGAAAAATTTCATTAACGGCATGAAATTAAAAGTACAGGAAGATGACATACATCAAGAGAGATTCGGAAAGTACAAAATACTCCTACTACTGCTACTCGCATCCATACAACCAACCCCTTGGCCTCACAATTTTTTTTTAAACAAAAAAGTTAAGAAAAACTTAACTGAAAAATAGAATACCTGAATCCCCACAAAATTACCCACAAAATCCAAAACCAAAGCTACTACACACCCAACGCCTACCTGCTAATTTAAAACTAAAACTTTACCGCCCACTAGCTATTTTTTGAAACTAAAATAATCACCTATACTGCTTCAACTCCCAACACCTATGCTGCTTCATATCTATACCGCCCACCTGCTGCACACCCACGCCTGACAACTCCCAAAGCCCAACGCGCCACCTGCTACTACTGCTAAATCTGTACACCACGCTCCTCTACACCTCCCAACTCCCACCTGCTAAATCTTTTCACCACGCTTCACTGGCCGGAAAAATCCATAGCCAACATCACCACGGCTGGAAGAACTTCCATGCCTGACATCTCCAAGCTGCTATACTACTGCTATATCATTACCACCCACGCTGCTATACTCCACATGCTGCTTCACTTCCACTGCCCAGCGAAGGCCCACGCCGGACAACACACTGCCAACACCCAGCTGCACCCACGGACAACACCCAAGGCCACACCTCTCCGACGCGGTGGTTCAAAACTCTGAACACACCCAAGGCCGATCAACACTCAAGACAACAAGACCCACTGCAGGTACTACTCCACCGTCCCTATATTGACGACCCAACGCCGAACTCCTCTTATTCAAAACAACCGCTGAGATACAACCACACATCTGGACGGCGTTCACCCCTCAAACTCCCATACGCATAGAAGCGCTCGAATGAAATCTTATACAGATCCGGATCATCTTCGACACTAATGCTTCCCCCCGACCAAAACACCGAAACACCTCCATAGATCTGAGCGGACAACACCCCTCAAACTTTCACGCGCAAAGAAGCGCCCGAATGAACATCCTAACCAGATCTGGATCGTCCTCTTTGCCGACCCAGTGAACAACCAAAACGTCACCAAAACACCCAAAAAACCAAGCAAGAACAATGGCAGCCCGCGCAGCACCGGTGGGAAAATAATGGGGGATTCAAGTTCATTAAACGGAAAACTAACAAACAAAAACACTAAAAGAACGGGGCCAGCCGACCTCCATAGCCAAAGGCGGCGGCCGGCCGGCCCCAAAATGAGGCTTGGGAATGAGGTTTTTAGAGAGAGAAAGAGGGGAAGTTTTTAGAGAGAGTTTTAGCTGGTATTTCGTATCCCTTAAATTTCAAGGTTTTAATTTTGACAAATTAAACTCCGGAGTTTTATCCGTGTTTCAATATGAGCCCTCCGTCCATATTTGTTTGATTGAACTAACGTTTTAATTTTGACAAATTAAACTCCGGAGTTTTATCCGTGTTTCAATATGAGCCCTCCGTCCATATTTGTTTGATTGAACTAACGGAATCTAACAA